ACACACACACACACACACACTATATATATATATATATATATATATATATATAGTATATATATTTAGCAAGGTTTTCAACGTTTAATCTTTTTTTATGATCATTTAAAATATTATAATAAATAGGAAATTGTTTGGAATTTGTTGCTGTATTGTGAAAGTTAAGTATTTGAGGTTGTTATTGTTTTTTGTTTTTTTACATTTGCAACAGTGATGGATCTTGCATTTAAAGTGGTCAGTCTGTCATGTTTCCATGGTAAACACTACAGTTTCACCAAATAGTAACTTTTGATCAGAGTAAGCTAAGTATTTGAAGCAAAACTAAAAATCAACCTGGCCATCAGTGTATTCAATTAAATATGCTTTTTTTTATATATCTACTTGTAAAAATTAGAATGTACTATTTCATGAGTTGGGTGCTCTCAGTCTCACTGTTAATCATATTTTGGCTATAAACCTAATAATATCTCATGACATTTGACCAGCTTAGGAGATTTAGATTAGTCCTCAACACAAATTCGAAACCAACAATACAAATCAAGCTTTAATAATGAATAAAAAATTTAACTTAAGCAAAAGTAACTGCATTCAATATAGTAACTGGTATTATTAATGAAAGAAAGCCAAGTGGTTAGGGCACTCGACTCACAATCTGAGTGTCGCAGGTTTGATTCCCCGTCACACCAAACATGCTCGCCCTTTCAGCCTTAGGGGCATTATAATGTGATGGTTAATCCCACTATTCGTTGGTAAAAGAGTAGCCCAAGAGTTGGCAGTGGTTGGTGATGACTAGCTGCCTTCCCTCTAGTCTTACACTGATAAATTAGAGAAGGCTATTGCAGATAGGCCTTGTGTAGCTTTGTGCGAAATTCAAAACAAACAATTAATGAAAGAAACAATAGATAAATTTGTGCATCCCACAAATCCAGCTCCTGTTTTGAACCTCAGTCATTGATGTGTTTCTTTGGAAACTTTCCTTCTAACACTGCACTTTACCAAATAATGTCAATATGGTACCCCTACTGTATATCATCCAAACTGTGACAACTTCATATTGTAGTTAAAAGCATGTCATGTTGCATCAACTTTCAATCTGCAGAAACAAAAACCATTGTTTATGGAGATCAAAGCAATGAGTAAAAAATAAAATATTACCTGACTTGACCATAATATTAAAACAATGTTACTTAATTCTCTATATTTTAGCTTTATTTGCCTGAAGGTTATTTGTAACAGTCTAAATAGCTGGCTACAGCACCAAGAGCATAACTATAATTTTGGGGACTCCAGTATGAGAGGTTCTGTTTGGTATATCTGGATGACTAGTGGAATTTGCCAATTGATTAATTGTCTGGCTCGTTAATCAATTATTTTCATATGAGAGTTGGAATAATCAGAAACACTAATTTCAATTACTTGATTATTTTGCGAGTCATTATACTAAACAATTAAGCCGTATAATAAATCATAATGGCAACATTTAATTAATTGAATAGTTGGAATAATTCAAACACTAATTTTGATTAGTTAATTATTTTTGGGACATTAATTGTGACACTAATCAGTTTAATCTTTCCTCGTAGATAATTAATCTAGTTAATCACCAAGCTCTTCTCTCAGGGCCCTACTTTAGAAAAACTATATTATGCAGTTGATTTTATGCATTAAAAAAGAAATATTGTACTTAAGTAGTCTATTAATGTTGCACTCTGTTGGCAGACTTATAAATATAGTAGGCTTGAATTCTCAAATTGCCATGTTGTTTCAAAATATTGTTTAATTATTGTGGTAAAATAGTAAATATGAGGTAACAAAAATCATCCTTTTTTTGGCCACTATTAATTTCATAAAAAGGGCTCTTTTTTTTTTAGTCATTTATTAAACAAAAATAAAAACTTGCTTGACAATAATAACAAAAGATATTTGCAAGCTTCTATTAATGCATGTGGGATATCACAACTTGAATTCTGAGTATAATTATGATGGGAATAACCTTAACAACATTATAGAAAAAAGGATCCTCGTGTTCTAGTTGATCAATCTATTAAGCTATCTAAGCAGTGTGCTGTTGCTAGTAGTAGGTTAAATAAGATTGTAGATTGTATATTCAGGAATATTGAATACAAGTCTAAAAAGGTGACATTTAATTTTATAAATTATTGGTTAGGCCACATTTTTAGTACTGTGTTCAGTATTGGGTGTCTTCCCTTAGAATACATCTAATTGTTGGGAAGAGTTCAGAGGAGGGCTACTAGGATGATACTTGGAATGGAAAGGTTGTTATATGAGAATAAGTTAAAATCTCTTAAAACTGTTTTCTCTGGATAACTGAATAGTTAAGAGGGGATCTGACAGAGGTGTTTAAGATTGTTAAGGAAATTGGTAATGTTGATGCATCATCAATTTTCATACTTAATGTTGAGAATGGTAGGACTAGTGGACACAAATATAAATCTTAGCAGGCTGAAAGTCATCTTCAGCTAAGACAGCTTTAGTTTTCTAACAGGGTGGTTGGTCTTTAGAATGGGTTGCCTTCAGATGTGGTGGATGCAGTTAAGAGAGTTTAAGAGAAGGCTTGATAAATATTTTAATTACAGGTGCTGAATTTGTGTGTTTTTTCTTATTTTAAAGCTTAATTTAGTGGATGGGATGACTTAGTTGGACCAATAGGTCCCATGTTGTCCTTAATTTATATGTACATATATGTTTCAAATGCTGTATCTGTTTGGTATATCCTGACTACATTTTGGGCAGATGAACATTTGTGACAAGTTTGACTACATGTAATGTGGAATCTTGTAACTAATACTTTTTGTTTGTTTGTACATATAGGTATCAATAATAATTGAAAAATAACCATAAGATACATACATAAGTTCTGCATGATTTTTATTCACTTTTTTAATGTTTTAAACAGTTTAATTGTGACTAAAAGATGTTTCTAACTTCAACTGTTATATTAGGCAAAAGAAAGCTATTATTATAATATGCTAATCCAATTTTTTTCTATCCCTTACAAGAAGGACTGAACCTAGGTCCTCTGGCATGCAAGGTGATTCCTCATCCTGTGAGATAAAGGGTTAACCCTCTAACTGTTGCTAGTGAGGCACTATTTTTAATAGCTCAAACTTCCATATAATAACTGCTTAACCAGTTTAGTACAAATAAAGGTAGTTTGCGATATAATGACAACTTTCTTTTAGAAAGTACCAATAACAAAGTTTCTGCTGAAACAGTAACTGCCTTGGTAGTCTGATGTTTGATATTGAAGGTAGTTTGGTTATAATAATGTTGTAATAACTTCATTATGTTTCAATGAAGTCTAATAAAATTGATAATAACTTATAAGATAGTTTGGGATTTTCCTTTTGTTAAAGGCCTTAGTATAATATTATAAATTTATCATGGATTATATTTTTCTCTCATTTTTTTGTAATATAATAAAATATAGTGTACTATTTTTTTGCAACAAATTTTATGATTGCTGACTTAAATTCTACTAACTTGAGAAGATTCAAGTAGAATATGGATAAGCAATGTAATAAGCTATTTTTCTTTTAGTTATTTGAATAAATGTAAAGTTTGTTATAAACTATGTATGTTACTGTAAAGAATCATCTTAAGTCTACAAGTAGTAGAAATCTAAGAAAGCATTTTTGTTCTTTTATAATAAATACTTGTTTGTGGAACAAACTGAGTTGTATTAGTTTAGTTAATACGTTTTACTATTTTTATTTCAGAATTTGTGGTTTCAGTCATAATTTCCAAGATGGCCGATGAAGATACAAAATATTGTTCTAACTGGTGAGAAAATTAGTAGTTATGAAAGTTGTAAAATACCTTATTATAGTTTAAGTACATAAAGATGTGTGTGTATTAAGTATGTAACCTATGATTGTATTGATAGTTTATAAAGTGCAGTTGTTATAAGAAGGTTAAAGTTAATAGAGGGTTGTGAATTGAAAAAATATCAAGTTTGAAACTCTTATTCTGTATTACAAAGTAAATACTTAAATCAGAAGGTGCAGGTTGCTTATGTACTTATTATATAATACCAGTTATACTTTTGACAGTTTTGTTTTTAATATTGTTACTAAATAAATATGAAGCAACTTTTAAAAAATAACAGATTTTTACCTTGTATGAAGACTTTTAATTTTCCTTTTTTAGATTTCAGTTATGTTTTCATCATTTAGAAATATTCAAAAATGGAATAATATTACAATTTAAGCAGAAGCAGTACTGCCTTGTTTTGCTGATTTAGATATAGCTCCAGTTTAACAATGTCCGGATTAATGAATCATTAATTGCTGTGCATCTCCAGCTAACTATCTCACAGTTGTCAGTTGTGATAGCAACTTTAAATTTTGTAGAGACATGCTGTATAGTACTAATGAGTTCTAACATTTACCATGAGTATGTTTTTTTATATGAACAAATGATCACCTTGTAGTGGAATCTGAATAAATAAATATATAAATGACAAATGACCACTTATTGTTTGGGATGTCATCCTTAAAATGAAAAAAGTATATATTCTCCTATAGGTGTAATTAAACACCCATCTAATCTTTGTTGGATTAAAACTAACTTTTAATGTATTAAAATTTCTGTCCTGTATGTGGTAACACTATTGTTATTAAAACTTAAGTCAGTTGATCTTTAAAACTTTTGTGTTACAATCAATAAAGCTACTGCTAAATTCATTACATTTCAAAACTTTTAACATGTTTCTTCAAGTAACAAGGAATAGCTCATTGGAATAATACTCACATGATGGTAAGCAGCTGTTCCTTGTTGCTTACGGTCATGTAAGTATTATTCCAATAAGCTTTCAATAAAGTACAGATGCTTTAGAAATAAAATTATTAAAATGAGCATGTGGCTCTGAGGAATTAGGCTTGTGATATACACCAACTTTCACAATAATTTGCTGCTTATGTACTAAAGCATCTAAAAATAATATAAACTAAATTCAAGTATCATTTATATTTAATAAGTGTTTTACAGAAAATAAAGGAATCTCTCAATGTCAAAATAGAAGGTTCTCTTCCATTTGCAAAATATTGCTGGTAATCATATATATGTATTTGCATATGCATAGTATCACATATTCAGTTTTAGAAACACTAGAAAACAATATAGAAAATTTAGTTTTGCATTTTATAATTAGCCCGGCATGGCCAGATGGTTATGGAGCTCGATTCGCAATCTGCGGGTCGCAAGTTTAAATCCCCGTCACACCAAACATGCTCACCCTTTCAGCTGTGGGGCATTATAATGTGATGGTCAATCCCACTATTCATTGGTAAAAGAGTAGCCCAAGAGTTGGTGGTGGGTGGTGATGACGAGCTGCCTTCCCTCTAGTCTTACACTGTTAAATTAGGGACAGCTCCTCGTCTAGCTTTGCGTGAATTTCATAACAAACAAACATTTTATAATCGTAGCTGTATCCACTGTTTTTCACCAGGTGATTATTATTATAATTCTTTGAAGTATATATTTTCATAAAATAATAAAGTCTATTGTATTTTCTTTTAGTTTTCTCTTGGAGACAGCTGTTAATAATAGGTTTTTGATTTAAAAGTCAAGTTTCAGTCTGTTAGAAATAATATATACATTATAATTTTTTCTGTTATTAAACGTTTCTGCCAGCAAACGGGACATAGCGATCAGCAATTATGTTCTACACAGTGCCCACTGTCAGAGAAACATTACATTATGTAGCAAATGTCATGAGCCAGTGCCACGGAATGAGTTGGAAAGTCATTGTAATGATGTCCACAAAACAGTCATGTGTTCAAAATGTGGAGAAATGATGGAGAAGGGGAAGCTAGAAGACCATCAGGTTTGTCCTTAAGCTTATCTGAAAGGTAGTCACCACCTCAAATTTAAAAAGTAGATCTTTTTCCTGGCAGTGAAGTACAGCAAATATCAATTTCTAGTACTAGTGTGTGTATATGAAAAGGATGTAAGGTGTTCTTAAAAAAATTAAGGTCATTAATTTATTATATATAAATTAATATATATATAAATAGGAAAAAAAATTTAAATTTCAATGGAAAGCAGGGATTGCTGGTTATTTGTAGAATTGCTCTAAGAAGTATCCAAAACAAAATAAATACTGTAATAAAAAATACACAAAAAAGTAAAGTGATACTGTTACTGCTTTTATAGCAATTCTGGAAGTAACCAACGATCCTTAATTTCCATTAAAATTTTAATTTTTTTTCCTATTTATTTGTTCAGTTTTTATATGTCCATGGAATGGACACAACATGTCTAAACTTTCGGTATAACCATATCCCTGAGAGCTATAACTTTTACAAGAATTAAAACCACAATAAGAAATTTATAAAATATAATCCTTACTTTGACTTACAGATAAATGTATAAAGCTGCCAAGGTTGGGATTAAATGTTGTTTTTAATTTGTGATTTTAATTCTTGTTTCATAATTTTTTGTATCAGGATTCCTATTTCATTTTAAAATTCATTGTTTTTAATAATCTTTTTTTGTTTACTTTTTGTGTTATACCTGTATAAAGTATATATTTTTCATTTTGAAAATGTTGCATGTCTATCCATCGATATGTAGCACCATCTGTTGGGTTGAAAAGATATTTAAGTATGTGCATGATATGTTTACCATTTATATTATACCTGTATATATCAAAAGTGGATACCCACAGACCAGCCAACTAAGCTGGAGAAATCTTGTAGTGATAGTCCAAGCCATCTAGGTGCAAGTCTTGCTGACGTGATCGGATAAGTGGGTAGTTGACAAAAATGTTTCTGTTTTAGAAATTTTTAAATTGTTATACCAGAAATGTTAGAGACTTTTTTAACATATTATTAGTATATATGCGCATAATATATCATTACCAATACTTTGAATGGTAGGTTTTTTGTTTTGGAATTCGATAGGGTGGTTTTTTGGCGCATGAATTATTTAGAATCCTTGTCAATCCCTACTATTAAGTACTACTGTACTTAAAATATTGCTTATTAATAATGTGTTTTTTTATTTTTCATCATAAAATGAAGTGAAAGTGATGTTTAGTGTCACATGTAGCAAAGGTATCCTTGCATTGTATATCCTTTTCATTTGCTACAATAGAAGGTAATGTTTTATTTGTGTTCATTCCTATAATACATGATGAGGCTTTATAGTATAGTTTATTACCTACAGTTTTGGTTACAGTCATGAAATTGATATGCTATTTTTTTATAGTAATTAATACATATTTTTTGGTATTTAGTAAGAGTTGAAAATAGAAAGTAAAATAAAAATAAAATAAACGGCAAATGAGTTTCCCAGGGATAAAAGTGATTCAATATGTATTTATTGGTATGATTACCATGTGTCAGATTTTGTTTGGTAATCAGATTGCTAATTGTTTTCAACAAAAGAGAAAGAATGTGTTGTAGAAAAGTTGAGAGTGAGGTTTAGATGTGCATACATATTTAGTATATGGTAAAGATAAACCTAAGACATATCAAATTAACATCTTCAGAAGGAAGGTTAAGTTTCTTGTCTTCTTGTAAGTTTCACTTGATATACTACATTTCTGTGGTTTAATGTTTAGCTGCTAAGTAGTTTGATAATGTTTTCAAGTTCACAGGGTTAAAAAACAAATAAATAATGCATCTTTCTGTTGATTTCATGCTAGAATTTTTTTAAGTTGCTTTGATTTGAAAATAGTCTAAACCTTAACAGATGTAACATATATATAACATTTCATGTTCTATCATTTGTTTTTGCTATGAACTGTTAGAGAAAGGGCTTTTAAGTGAAGCTAGCAGAAGAAATAGAAAATTGTTCTGTTAATTTTTTAAGGTTTGATAATGTCTTAAGTTTTTCTTGTTTAAAAGCAATTAAACAGTTTCATCATGTTCAATTTAACATGTATTTTGATACTAGTTTTTTTTCTGTAGCTTGTCCACAATGTAAAATTGAACATCTTAATATGGTCTGTAGTTTTATCTTGTCGGAGATCTTTTGGTATAAAATGTTATGCTAGTGGTTGGTTTTTTATAATATTTAAGATTAAGTATATGGTGCTGTAAACCATTACATTTTTAACAGAAGTGTAAGCTCTGATTTTTGGTCAACTATTGCTAAATAAATTTCTTTTAATAAGAACTCTCAACATAAAATGTATATTTGATATTTTTTATGCAGAAAGAAAGCTGTTCTAAAAGAAATGCAGCATGCAAGTATTGCGAATTAGAAGGTTCTCTGGATGATGTCAGAGAACATGAAACTTACTGTGGAAGTCGTACTGAGCCTTGTCCAGCATGTGGTCAGTACGTTATGAAAAAGAATAAAGACATTCATGCTGGGAATTATTGCAAGCAGATGTTGGAAGAGGAACTTTTATCACATGACACTGGCAAGTGAAACTTTTGCCTTTAACAACTTGAAATATAAGAATCACTTTAGTCTAAACTCACTGGTCAAAATACTAGAAACCCCAGCCTAATAATGTGTTGTGCCACTATATGTGCCTTCATTACAGTCTGGATGTGCCATGGTATTGACTCCACTGGTGTCTAAAAGGTTTCTGCTTCAGTTTTTGACGATTCTTTAATCATTATTATCTCCAACTGAGGTAGAGATGATGGTTCATCTTAAAACATCCCATATTGTCGATGGAGTTGGGATCAGGGGACTATGTAGGCCAGGGTAGTTGTATCATGCTCAGTTAACTCTTTCAACACGGGCTCGGGCCCTGGGACCGAGTCACGTGACCTTCTGTGCTCGTTTAAAGTTGACATAAATTTAATACTTATAACTCTATCTATATATTGAATATATCTTCACAAAATTTGGTAGTCTTTCAGTTAATATTACAAGTCTTTCACATACAAAGTCATATTTCTTAGTGAAGTACTTTTAATAAAATAAAATAAAGTTTTATCCATGAATATATTGAGTATTTGTTTTGAACAGTCTGTGTTAAAATTAAAAATACTTTTTGCCATCTCAAAAATCTCAAATTTCCTTTGTGTAATCTCTAAAACCTCCTAAATGCTTATCAAACTTTTTTTTTCACTAAATCCTTATAGTTTATATGTTATTTTATCAACCCTAATCTCAAAATGGGATCGGTCAATTCGAATAACTTTGTAACTACCAAAAAAAATATCGAAATAAACCTAAATTAACCTTCTTTTCTTTCTAATATGACTTCAAATGATGACCTGAAACTACATTTGTTTATCCTAAGTAGCTCTAAGTTCATAACATTATACATCTATTTATAATTAAATTTTATTGTTCTATTTCCCTTTGAACCATGTCTAACTGCTATCTGCACCATTATAAGTTGTAAATCACTCGGGAAACGTGCAGCTCACGCTACACTATCGAATTACATCACTCACGAGCTGCTCGCATGCGTGCTACGTGAACAGTTTTAATTATATTATTATTATTATTATTACTTATTTTACCTATTTTAGTCTTAAATAACTTAAAAAGATCTATACTTTTAATTTTAGTTACTTTTATAATAATAGATAAAGAATAAATATGAAAAACAAGAAATAAAGTACTTACCCAATCTTTTTTCTTTCCATCGATTGTCGATGAGAGTTAAGCCTGATTTTTTTAGTGATTATGGTAAAGCACTTAACAATTTTTATTTAATTAAATAACACACCAAAGAATATAGACTAATAACATGTAAAAAGTATACAAATTTGCTTACTTCTAAAAATTTTCCTGGCTTTCTAACTATGCGACAAGAGCCATTAGAAATTCATCCAAGCTAGTCGTTAACTTTCCCACAGGAACGATGTTGCTACTCAGAGTGACATTGACAGTTATCTGTTCAAAACACAATATTATACAATACGCCATTTGATAGATGAAAACCTTGACTTTCTATTGGTTATAAATAATATATAATGAAACGTAAGAAAGAACTATCAACGAATTCTGAAAGAGAGGATGTGACAGGTGGGTGTGGCAGGAGGGGTCTGATTTTCTCTTTGGTAGCTCTGTAACAAAATAAAATTGAAGGCCATGGTCTGTTTGAGCAATAATGATTTTATAGAGAGCATTTTATGTTTAATTTCGTACATTTTCGAGGGGTGATAGATAAAATAGGGATAATGACATGCTAGACAAAATTTGTCATGTGTGTTACACTAGTGGAAATTCAGAATTTTTTTATATATTTCCTTTTAGAATTAAGAACTTAAAACTTGTATACTATTAAAATATGGATTATTAGCTAAGATTTTATGCTATTCTAAATGGTATAACATAAACAAAAAGTAGTTTAATAAAATTTTGAATGTAAGACACTAAAACCTTGTGTCATATGCAGTATAGGGTACTCGTGCAGATAGGGTAAACCAATCGTGAATGATTTTTAGCTCTGTGACTGATGACATTCTAGTCCACGAGATAACCATCTCCATTTGGTTAAAAGTTGAGCATTGCGAGGTCCACCTGGTCATAAATAGAGGTGTGGCTGTTCAGAAGAACCAGGGATGAAATCTATGCCAAGTAGATTTGGAGATAACCATCTCCATTTGGTTAAAAGTTGAGCATTGCGAGGTCCACCTGGTCATAAATAGAGGTGTGGCTGTTCAGAAGAACCATGGATGAAATCTATGCCAAGTAGTTGAGCCCCATAATGTTACACTGTTTCCAGAACCTTCTACGATGGAGACTTTGTATGATAGGTCTGTAATTTTAATGGGTTGTCACCTCATTCATCCTATTGTCATTTCATAAGAATCTGAAGTGTGATTAATCTGATATATTTCTATTGGGCAACAGTCCAAACCCTATGATGTTGACATTAGAGACATTTGTTTTGATTGGTGACAGAGATACATGGTTTATATAATGGGAATGCTTATCAAAGTTGATTTCATGCAGATTCCTAGATATTGGTTTAATAGAAATGTATGTTCCTGGATTATTATTAAAGTTACCCTTCAATTCATGCACGATTGAACATCTGTGAGCCCCAACAACCTTTGATATATACTTATCTCTGTTTGATAACTTTCTCTTCTGACCACAGTTTTTCTTATTAGGTAGAAATATTTGTTTTCATAACTATGCAGTGTAGACTCAAGATGCAATGGCCTTTCATTTGCCAGTCAGTTTGATTGAAGCATCTACCACCGAGTTCCAACAATAACATTTCATCTAAAGCATGATAAATCTTTCATCTTTCCCATTTTAGGAACAACTGATGATCATACAATTTACTGCCTGTATTATTTACCCCTGGTCATTTTATTTTTCTAATTTGTAAGTACCTACTTTGAATAAACATGAAGTGAGGACCAATCTATTCTGTGGGTAAGGGTTACTAACATTTTGTCTTGTGAATGTAGAATAAGCATTAGGTGGAAACATGAACAATCTAAAGTTTATATGTTATGAGAATGAATAAAGACATCTATGCTGGGAATTATTGGAAGCAGTTGTTGGAAAAGGAATTTTTATCACATGACACAGGCAAGTGAAACTTCCATCTAATGGATCATTCTAACTTAGAGTAAACATTAAGTGAAAACTTAATTAACTTAAAGTTTCCTTTCACAATTAGAAAATAAAAACAACATTGATGTTGAAAATACAGTAACAGTTGTTTTTTTTTCTAGCAGTCTTTAAGTTTTGAAACAGGGACATGCTTGATTTTCAGGTACTTTCTGTGTGCTTCTAAGCCATCTGACTTTAACGGACTCTTTAACAGGGACCGACCATGTGACCATTTTTACTTGTATATAGTTTTAATGCTGTAAATTTTAATACTGTATGCGTATCTTTACAAAATTTGGCAGACTTTACGAATTGTTTATACACAAAAAATAAGCTTCTCTTATGAAGTATTTTTACTAAAGATTTGTCTATGAATATATTGAGTCCTTTTCTGGCCAGTCCAAGTGCAAAGTGATTTTCATGTTAATATTCAAATGTCATTTGTGTAATCTCTAAAGCCTCCTAAATATGTTTCAAATGTTTTTTTTGTAAAACTTTATATCTCATCTGTTATTTTCTCTACCCTAATTCTATACAAGGTTGGTCAGTTTGACCGACTTCGTAACCAAAATAAATCTAAATTACCCTTTTTGAAATTGTAACATGAAACTACATTTGTTTATCCCAAGTAACTTTAAACTCATAACAGCATACATTTATTTATACTTAAATTTTGTTTTATTGCCCTTTGACCCATGTCTAATTACTATTCACACCATTATATGTTGTTAATCACTTGGGGATGTGCAGTTCACATTACGCTATTGAATTACATTGCTCATGAGCTGCTCATGTGCATACTTGCGAACATTTTTTATTATATTATTATTATTACTTATTTTACCTAATCTAACCTAAAGAATTTCTTATTTTTACATTTTAGTTATTATTATAATAATAAATAAAGAATATGCATGAAAAACAAGAAATAAAGTACTTACCTGGGGCTTGCTTTCCTTTTTTTTTTTTTTTTTTTTTTTTTGCAGTCAACTGTTGATGACACTTAAACCTACTTTTTCTATACTAATGGTTGTAGTGCACTAAATAACTTTTACTTAATTAAGTAATGCATCAAAGAACATTGAAAGATAACGTGCAAAAAGCAGACCATGTCCCCTAACTATCACAATTTTTCTGGCTTTCTAACTATGTGACAATAGCCATTACAAATTCAACCAAGATAGTCAATGTGTTTCCCATGAGAACGAAGCTTGTAATGAAAGTGAAATTAAAATTTTTCTGTACAGAATACAACGTAATATAATATGTCATTTGATATATGAAAACCTTGGCTTTCTACTGGTTTTAAATAATATGGTATTAAAGATAAGAGAGAACTATTGACATATCCTGAAAAAGAGGATGTGACAGGTGGGTGTGGCAAGAAGGAAATGATTTTCTATTTGATGGCTCTGTAACCATACAAAATTGAAAACTGAAAATTATGCTTTGCCTGAGTGATGGTAACATTATAATGAGTAAGTTACATTAAATTTCGTACTTCTTGAAGGTGTAGTTAATAAATTAGAAAAGAGGGGATGCCTGGAGAAAATATATCAAATTTATCACACTAGGGGAAATTCAGGATTTTTTTGTATATTGCTTTATAAAATTAAGAACTTAAAACTTGTATACTATTAAAATATGGATTATTAGCTATGATTGTATGCTATACTAATTGACATAACATGAACAAAAAATAGTTTAGTTAAGTTCTGAATGTAACTCATTGTAAATCTCATGAAATGTGCAGTAAAGGATACCCATGGCAAGATGGTTAAGGTGTGTGAGTGAAATACTAGAAAGGATAAAAAGCATTTTATTATAATAGTGGAAATAAAAATAAATTAACAACTGCATGTAAGAAGGGATTTTATACTCAGTGATGTCAACCCAATATTCTTTAAGTTATAAACTAAACCTAACACTGGATTTCAATATAATTCAGTGTGTTAGTTATTTTATAATATTCAAAAGTTATTTTCGTTAGGTCTCTAGAAATAACCTTACCTATAAATAAATGGTATTAAAAGTTGTATTTTTATTAGGGACTCTCAACAATTGTCGATCACAAGTACAAGAAAAAGCTGGCAACTCAGGAAAGCCCGTTGTTAGAAGAAACAAACTGAGAAATGTGAGTTTACTTAAGTGTATTTGTAACTGAAGTAAACCTAATCATGTGAAATATGGTTTACATAGGATGGTGTAATATTTTGATCCAATTCTTGAAAACAATAATTACTGAAACATATATATATATATATATATATACGTTTAAATATTTTTTACACAGTATCTATTAATTCAGAGAGACTATATATACATTGTCTATTTGTATATGACAGTTACTACCTGTAATACAGTTGTCCCTCTTAGATACGACCAACCTATTTGTCATGATAAAAAAGTTGTATCTGACAGGAAGTCATTGATTACAGGATCAATAACCAGATATCAAACAACTGAGTTCAAGCTGTATAGGTAGTCAAATAACATAACAAATTGGTACACTGTATAATAATAGTTATGATGGATAATAGTTCAATAAAGATAACTTAAAATTGTTTTGTTTGTGTTTTAAGTCAAATGATTTATTTATCGATCACATTTGTTTCGTAAACATCCATGTATCACATTTTTGTTACATACATATAGAATATTACAAACTAACAAAATTTATTTAATAAAAAATCGTCCATCTTTGTTTGTTTTGCACATTTAACAGAGTTGCTTTGAATGTTCACAAGTCTGGCAGTTATATCAAGAAGCATTTGATTGTTAATTTTAAGTGCATGAATTTAGTATCATTTTATACAATAACGTGCAATAAGTGCCCAGAATTCTACATCAGAGAAACCGTAAGAAAATTGGAAGCCAGATTCACTGAACATAATAAAAAAAATCCCATATTTACCACCATTACAACTAAAAAAATCCACAGTATATATATATATATATACAAGACGCTGTAATTTTAAACAAAGAACAAAACATCGGAAGCTGCATATCTTAATTGAACAAAACAGCCCAACCCTAAATCAAAATTTCAACTTGGATCCTTTGATCCCAGCTCTGAAAAGGGACCATTTCATGAATTTAGAATAACCAGTAAAGAAATAAGAATAAATATCTGAACTAAATTATTGCTAGACTCTAGCCAATACCTAATAAGGTGGCCCGGCATGGCCAGGTGGTTAGGGTGCTCGACTCGCAATCTGAGGGTCGCGAGTTCGAATCTCCGTACCACCAAACATGCTCGCCCTTTCAGCCGTGGGGGCATTATAATGTGACAGTCAATCCCACTATTCCTTGGTAAAAGAGTAGCCCAAGAGTTGGCGGTGGGTGGTGATGACTAGCTGCCTTCCCTCTAGTCTTACACTGCCAAATTAGGGATGGCTAGCGCAGATAGCCCTCGTGTAGCTTTGCGCGAAATTAGAAAAACAAACAAACAAACCTAATAAGGTAATCCTCTCTGAATACAAATACTACATAAAATGTAATATGGTGCATTAAAACAATTTCAAGTTTACCAATTTTCATGTTTCATTTATTTTGTTGCTTTCGTCACAACTTTGGTCTATATCATTGTCCATGTCACGTTTGTATGTCAACATTTCAAGCCTTCTTCTTCATAGCAACTTCCTGTTCTCAGCTACAGACATTTGCAGCTTTCTCCAGATGCTTCAAGGCATTTTATTAGTCATGCTTACTGCACAGATTAGTCGAGTCTGTCACTCAACAAACTGTGAGTTACTTAACATCTAGGCCACTTGCACAAAATCTACTACATTCACTAAAAGAATAAACCTTAATTCCGTGAGCGGAGCGAAGACAAACAACAGTTTCTGACCACCCCTGGTCACCTTTCAAGACCTGAAAGGTTTTAAACCAAAATACCTACATGTATGTACCAAGGAGTTTGAGTTGAACACCCTGGGGTACTAAGATACATATACTAAGTTGTGAAGCAATCTCTGGTCATGTGGTATCTTTGTTCCATACTGTATACACTGTATTCATGTGTCTCTGTAAATTACATTATTGATATGAAGAAAAGTCGTCATAGAGAGGTCGTTCCCAGTCAAATGTTGCATCTGTCAGGAAGTCGTTCGTGTGAGGTCAGATCAATGTAAAATCGTTCCATGCCCCCAAAAAAGTCATATTTAAAAGGAAGTCGTTATTGGGAGGGGTCGTATCCATCAGGAACAATTGTAATACAAGTCTGTACATGTTGGAAAAATTAGAATTATTGACTTATCTACATACAAAGAAATGAGCACTGACAGTGTTTAAAATAACTTTCCATCATTTATGTATAAGTAAATGAGACTGTAACAGTACTTAAAATAAGCTTCAATCTCTCACTTGCAGACTAGGTCAATGTCATTCTATTTAACCCTTTGACTACTGCACACTCTAAACTCCTTCTGTGCATCTCACAAGGTTTTACTTAGTTACATTAAAAATTTGATTAAACCACTTTATTGCCAATGTATTTTAATAAAATTAGCATTACCATGTGTGTCATAATTCAAAGTTTTATATTATCTAAGTTTTAATTCTTTTATTTCAAACCCTTAAAACAATAACTAAAAACTGTGCTTTTTCTTTCACGAAAAGTGCTCATGGTTACAAACATCAGCTTTAAGAGCTGATATAGAACAAACTGTACATGTAATATAGACAGTCTCTCTGAAGTGTTCAAAGTACAGTGTATATGGGTTGTTTACAAGTAATTGGAGAACATTCCAAGAACTTTTCCCCAAGATAATGGTTGTAAAACTTTTCTCTGTTCAGACAAACCATGCCCACTTGCAAAATAGAAGAGGTGTTGCTAAGTGTCAGTTTTAAGTTTAATGCCACACTTATAGCCAATACAAAGAGTGATTTCATGCTGTATTTCCTAATAAGGTTATGAAAGCTAATTGATGTTTGCATTTTAGAGAGGAAGCCAGAAAAAGCTTAGTCCATTGTTGAGAGCAGCATCTCTAGCACATGGCTGTTTTTTTCTCGCCTTATTAGTTTGATAGGCAGTGAAATTGCATTTATATTTTACTTTTATCTTTTAGTTAATTATGTATTATTTGTTTTAAAATTTATATTTGAAAGGTGTAATGATTATATTTTGTTTTTTATTTGCCACTTCGCTGGTCATGGGTTATAAATAGAGACAAGGGCAAATATTATGCAGTAGGCTAAAGCTGACTCTATGCCGATCATAATATTATATCTCCCTCTAGGACCCATTGAAGTGTTTTAATGTAAATAATAAAATATAAAGAATTGGAAAGGAAAATAAAACATTAAAAGTAAAGAATGTGTGAAAAGGTAAAGACTTGAAAATATGCATATGACCCAAAGAAGATATTATAAGATTATTCAATGAAAAAATAATAGGCAAGTACATATTACCATTTCTTAGTTTTAAACATTTAATTGCACTGTACATTGTGATAATAGCTAAAGTTAGTGATGTTTCAGAAAAAATGGCAAGTCAAATGTTGACATTTACCATAAAAAAACTTTTGATATTCATTAAGGAGGTTCTAAAGATCATGCAAGTGAAATGTGAAAACTGTAAGATAAAAAATAGTATTATTATACTTAACATAAAAATAACCTTGCAGATGAACTATTCAGAGACAAAGCACAAATAACTACATTAAATAACAAATTTTTTAGTAGAAATAGAAGAAAAAATTCAAAATTGAATATTTGTCTAAAATTACATACTTTTAGGAAGGTTCCTATCAAATTTCATTTCTGTAAAGACATTTCATGAGAGTTATGTAACTTGATTACAATAGGCATGAGTCGTCTTGATAGGATTAAATAGAAATACTTAAACTTCGGTGTTGTTGTTATATCACGCATGAGCAATCACAGATCTTAACATTTTGTCTCTTGATTCTCTCTTTTCTTGGAATTTCTAAGCATCAGTTTGGTTTCAATTAAAATTTCTTTGCTTTATTACTTCTCCTTCATAGCTTCTTTTGTGAAGTTTTAGTTGTTTTTTCACTTGTGATGAAATGTTCTGTATTATAAAGATCTAATTTTTCAACAGCAAACACTTGTTTCTTTGATTATCTTTACAGTTACAAATTTAATAAGTCCATTCTGTGCATGCATACTATGTATTTGTGTTAATTAGTTTTCAGCTTTTGTGAATTATGTGAAGAAGAATTTTGATACAAAGAACAAACTGTTCCCAATATTTGGAAATCTCTTTACACACATTTCAATTCTCTAATGCATGATCAGGGTTTAATTAATAGTTTTATAGATTTAGTGCTATAACCTAGTGAGTGAATCCATACATTTTGTTAATAGAAAAAGGAGGTCAGATATGAATTGATTAGACATATACATATATATTTTTGTTTAATTAAATCCATTTAGAGCATTAGATGAAAAAAATGTACCTAATACTGTAAAATTTCAATGCTTGTAAAGCACATGCAAGTTTTTTCATAGGTAAGGGAGAACAGATCCAGCAATCATCCAGTGGGAATTGTTGATAAACCTCCCCCAAGCCCAGCTTTCTCGGGCTCTCTCAGTCATTCTCCTGAAACTAGAGGTTTGTGTTATGTTAATGAGGGATAAAACACCTGTTACACCTGGTGTGCATCAATATGAAATTCCATCTCTGATATTATTACTTGAAATTTTTGTTGGCATTGAATAATTCACTTTGTTGGGCAGATTGTTGAGCAAAACTCCTTTTTTATCTTAATAAACTATTGTAGTTCACTTGGAAAAAAAAAAAGATATAATATGTGTACTCGTGATTTTTTTGATTGTGAGAAATATATCACCAGCTGCATACATTAAAGAATGTTTAAACAAATTCTGTAGTATTATGAAAGAAAGAACTGGTATTATTCCACTCATTATCATTGATAACTATTGAGTCTAAAGAAAAAATAAAGGCTTTGAGGTTAAATCAATAGAAGGTTTTGATTTTAATAATCTTTATGTAAGTCTTTCTATTAATAAGATAGAAAAGTCTTTCATCTACAATTTTCAGATTGTTTAACAATTTGGGTGAGTTAATGCTTTGTGTTCATAAAAACACAATAAATTATACAATAAAGGTATTTTTACAAACTATCTATTTTTTTTAACTTAACAACACATTTATGCAGTTTGGTCATGTCTTACAACAAATTCAAGGGATACCTATGGTAGGTAACTTCAGCCTACAAGTTGCAGATTTGTATCTATTAAAACTTGAATTTTCATGCTATAGGAACCTTAGTAAAAAGTCTGTAGTAAAGAGTTATGATAGTCGTGCTTATAGATACATTGATGACCCTTTTACCTAATTGTTAAGGTTTTCTTGAAATTGCCAAACAAACTTATTCACTAGAACTTACTTTTGAAAAAAGCTCTTTCACTAGTAACAAATCATAGTACCTGAATTTGGATATTAGCGTAGTTAAACATTTAAGTTCAATATTTTCAATAAAACAGACACTTTTAATTTTGAGGTTACAAACTTTCTATTTCTGAATACAAATATTCCAAAAAAAACTATCATGATATCTTCAAGATTTTCATTTGTGCACATTAATTTTTAATTAATTATTTAAGGTAGTAATGAAGCACTATAATATTGTGACCACTGTTAGTTTTATCTTTTTAGTTCTTTCTATAGGGTATAGTATAACATTATATTGTTGGTTGCATTAGCTTCCCCTAATTATTTTGTCAGGTTTCCTAATTTGTTGCTTCATTTTCTAAATCTTACTGTCTTAGTATTATTTCAAATTTTCTTGAATCTTATTATGTATAGTATGCAGATGCATTCATAATATGTTTTGCTTTTTTTTTATTATAATGAACTTCTAAAGTTCAAAGGAATTTTTCAGACATTTTAAGGTATTAATGGTTACAAATAGCAGAGTAATAATTTATATTATCATAGTATAATGGTATGACCAACAGTGACATGATTTTCTCAAGTGCTCCAGGAGTGATGATGCTGTTTTTTGTACAGATAGCAGGTAGCTCTCTTGGTCTTTTATTTTATGGGCAATAAAGTATTTTTATTTTCCACCAACACTAGGAAATTAGTTATACCCCATCCTTTCTTTAAGGTTACTTTCATTAGGGGTATTGATTATTATATTCGTTATAATGTTTAATTTGAAAGTTTATTTCACATTATTAGATTGGTTTATGGAATTATGACTGACATAAATCTGCTAAGCTGGACACACAGTATGGGTTAGAAAATTTACATATCTACTTTTATTTGTTAGTTTTTATATTTTCTGATTTAATTTTTAAGAATACAGGTTATTTTACATTGTTTGATTAGTTTATGGAATTAGAACTAACACCTATTAAGTTGGCTGAACTAAGTATAATTTTTACCACAGTGGTAGTTCTTACTTGAACTACCACTGTGGTAAAAGTGATTAGAATATTTGGTATATCTGCTTTGATTGATTAGTTTTTATTGTTTCCAATTTTCTTCTTATGTTTATTATGTTATTATAATGGTTATCCTAGATTTTTAGCTTAGTATATGGATTTAGGACTAACCTAAGTTTTTTTGATTAATCAAACCTTGCAAGATATTATTGGGTTTATGGCCAAAAATTTCATTAAGAGCATGGGTAGCTGATGAAACAATACATTCTAATCATTATAAATAAGATAATTTAAACAGTATATTTAATTAGCTATTATTGGTATATTTCTTTGGTTTTGATCTATGTAGGTGGCTTATTTTGATCATAATTTAATATTTATAACTGTAGGTTTTTGGAATATTTTTATCAGATTCCACTTCCATTTATAAGGAAACTTATTTGAAGTTAGGTTTGTCCATACATAATAAGTCTTTAATCATTAATAAGGTAATAAATAAATTTAATAAAGTATGGTCATCCAAAAAGCCACTTTCACCAGTACTAGCTTTATTGTCAGAGCAAGTACTATTGCAGTGCTAATAATTGAAATTTTATAACATGCATTCATTTCTTGTGATTATTGAATATGGTTTAAATACCTTTTTTATTATTATGTGGAGTGCTCTTTAGGCTTGTAATATTTTTTAAAACACTTCAGGATATTTATTTTAAATTAACTATTTTCATCATTTAGATTTGGAGAATTTGGATCATCTTCTTGCTTGCCAGTTGGCAGAAGAAGAATTGAACAAAGATAAAAACTATCAGAAAGGTTTGAATGTCAACTTTTGTGAAGATTATGGAAACTTATTGGATGATAACAAAGGAGAAAATGAACCTAATGATTTTGTCAAAGGTGTACTAAAAGAAAGTTGTCTTTACCATAAGAAACTAATAAGAACAGGTGAGATATTGTTCAAAAGATGATTTAGATTATTTTTACATGTGTGAAAAATCCATAGGTACAGCATTTTTATATATGTATTTTTTAATCCATATATAATATACTATCTAAATACTAGTTTGTTTTAACCCTATCCATTGTATCATCCCTCATTATTTTGCACTCACACTTAAATGCTTAACCTAATTGCATGATACTTAGTACACACTTTTTGCATAATATGTAGTTTGTGCTTGACATTAATAATGTAATTTTGTTTAGTATTTGTATAATGTTTTAGTTTGTGAATTTTCAAAAATTTTGTTTTGATATACCATTTTTAAAAAACATTAAAAAATACTTAGGGTTTCTGTTTTTTTTTATTGTATGCCTAAAATAATTTATTTGTATCTATTAGAGTTATTTTTTCAATAAAACTACAATTGGTGTGTCTGTGTGTTTCTAGTAACACTATACTTATTTTTTCATCTGTTCATAGAAGCTTTTAAATTCCGAAAAAAAAAGTAACTGTTAGATAATATGAAAAAAATACAACTGAATGATTTTAAATTTTATTGATCAGAAAGTTCCATGTTATATATCCAGTTAGGTCTGACATGTTATATTTACATCAATGATTTATATTTATTTATTTCTACCTGTTAAAGCAGTTGTATAGCTACAAAAATAACATAAAACACTGACGAACAATAAAACCGTTTGAAGCACAGCTTGCACTCGTATCCTAGACATAAACTGATATAGGCAATATTTTTCCAACTATATTTTTTGGTACATCTCAATTTCTCTAGTAATTACATGTTTTTTTTAATAACTAAGGAATTCTTGTACTTGTATATGTTGTTTGAGTAATAATAAAATTACAAATACACACAAATAAAAAAAACAAAAAACTTTTTGTATCATCTGAATAGTTTGACATTGCAAAACTCCTGGCTCAATCTACTCACTATTAAGTATCCTTAGCTTATGTCCTCTCATATAACAATATTCTTGTAGTTTTTAAAACATGCAAAATATAATACTAAAACATTATAATGAATGAAAACATCAAAAGAAACTATAAAAATTTCCAGGCTTGTGGCTTGTTCCTGAGTTTTTGCATTAGAACCTTTAGTTCTGCAGTATGATAACTTCTGCTAGTTACTTTTTAGAAAGCATACAATACTGCTTACCCAAGTGTTATGTACTTTACAATGCTGTAGATAGGCAAGAATGTTTTCAATTCAGTCATGTTTAGCTATTGTTTCTACCATGTTTGGAGGCTGTACTTTTATAAAAGCCTTGCAACAAAGGTTTCTTGAAAATAATCTTTGAAAGGAAAGTCATGTGAGAAACAAAGCCTTGTATAAATGTTTGTAAGAGATGCTAGGGTCTGTGTCAATATAAACCTATACCTTGGGTTGAGCAGAAAAATTATAATTAAATGTATAAGGGTCTTGTTACAGGCAATACCCATTGGAACTGCACGGAGATCAAAATTCAAACATTTGTTTTAATTTTGCTTTGCAAAGTACACTAAATTGTAAAGTTATAAAGCATCAATTCTTAGATATTTTCAAGAAAAAAAAATTGTTGAAATAGACTTAAAACTATTACTTTTATTTAAATTCTGAAATTTGTCATGCAAATCTGCCCTCGGTAATCTCTTGAGCTGCCCATTGGCTCTAATAGGGTTAATGATCGTGATTTATTTTTTTTGAAAGCTTCTTCATTTGTAAAAATACTTTATTTCTATCTTCAACCACAGAAATATCTCAGTAGGTATTGCAGAAACATTACCCTCATGGTTACCCTGAATTCATTTTGAAAATACTAGAAACAAAAAAGACATAATATATTCTTTGTCAGTAAACTATTTTTCTCTCATACATGGGTATTCAAAATATCACTAAAGATCATCACTTACTTAAGGTAGTAGCTAGCAAGGATCTTTACATATTGGAATTGGTTTAAAAACAGTCAAATACTCTGATATTTTTATAGTAGCTTTACAAAACTTTAGTGATCACTAAGATTTTCCTGAGTGTTCATTGTTCAGTCTTCTTTGTTTGCATTTTTCAAAACTCATTTTAATGAAACTTGATACAAATACAGGTTGTAAATTAAAATATTGTAAAATGATAAAACTCAACTGTGATATTTATCATTTTATATTCAACAAATTTAAGAAACAACTCATTGTCACTATGGGACTCACCTTCTAATTATCTGTGCATAACTTTACAGTTTAAAAATTGGTTACTCATACATACAGTAGTAAAACATGTTACTATGAGTACTAACATTATAGTCAAATTCATTACCTCTATTTTATATGTTATGCTACATGTTTTTAAACTTATTTATTACAGGCTAATGAAGGAAATCATTAATCTTAGTGATTAATATCTGAAATATACTCTACTTGATTTAAAATTTGTTTAATGATGCAGGATCAGTATTTCAGAGATGCTACTCTCTTCTCTACACTTCTTGTGCACAATGCCATGTAATTTTTTACACATGCCATGAACCTTGGACAGGGCTCCCACCTCTCCACATGTCAACATGTATTGTGCCAGTCTATGATGTAATGGTCAATAGACTAGCCCTCCACCAATAGGAGGGGCACACATCCTCCATGCACGCTAATTTTCATAAGCACTAACACATGAACACAGGCTTGTTCTTTCCTTGGCACCACTTGTTTTCTGATGTGTTTTTTCATTTAATGCCATTTTTGTGCTTATTGTTTTTAATGTTTCATTACTATGCGCCATGTAGTCTTTCTTTCCTGAATTTCCTTGATTATATAAGAGAACTATATTAAATTTTAAACTTATCAGCTATAACTTTCATTCAATTTTTTTTCTATTTGATTTTCTCTTAATCGACTTTGTAATGTCCAGACATGTCCCATTGTTTAATCTAACATATGAGTTTCATCTGGTACCCTTCAAAGTTGTCATTTAGACCTACGCACCATCACCATACCTAGCTCATTTTTTCTCTAATTGGTAAAAAAACTTTTGTATGCACTTTACAAAAATAGACTACTGCAACATCAGGTTCATGAATTAACTGTATTATGCATTCATGTTTCCACATTTCTGATATCACCCAAGGTTTTTAACACACTTTCACAGAAGTCACCCAATACTGATGTGGTGAGTGGAGACACTAATGCTCAGTGATGTTACTGCCATTTTACACCACCTGGCTGGTTCTATTCTGATCTTGGATCCAGGATTCCTAACTTCCTGCTTTTGTTACTTCAGCTGAGCCTGCCCAATCTGATGAGTGTTTCATCACTGTTGTTTTCACACAAGTTTTTGCTTCTCATTCCCTCTTTCTGACATGAACGAGGTAGTCCTGCTTTTATCTTTCCTTGCTTGAATTCTACTGTTAAGTGTCTTTTGGCTTTTCTTTTTCCAATATTTATTTTGCTGAATCATGGGCTTCCTCGTTGCATGAGCTCCATTCACCTTAATTTATGCTTCCAGTTTAAGCACCTCTTTTTCATTCCTTTTTCTTTCTCTCAATATTCTTAGCTTTTAATGGATTTCTTTGATGATTTTCGTGTGTCACATTCATTTTGAGGTTTTCCACCACTGCCCTCTATCAGCTTTACTGGGATAACTTGCACAAACCTTTTTTTCAACTTCTCATTTGTCTTTCATTTTGTCCTACATTCCTTTGTTTATTTTTTTCTGAGGTGTACTTTGTTAGGTTTGCTTACATTCTGAATTTCACCTCCCTCAATCTCTTTTTTAGAACCTCTGTTTTGCAATTTTTCTTTTAATGTAGTTTTTGAGGGTATATCTTGAACCTTTTGTGCTGATGCATTTCTTCAGCAGTCACCTCTCTCACTTTGGTTTCTTGCCATTTGGATAAGGAGAACCCACTAACTTTTTATCATATACAGTCTTGTGGGGTTGCCTTCTCTGCTGTTCCTTGTCCTCTTGTTGCTATACATGATCCATCCTCTGTGAGGGCTGGCCATCACAGGTCTTGGAGGTGATTTGTTTCTGGGGCCACTCACTTTGTCAACTGGTAGACACCCTTTTCTATAACCTATTGACTTCCACAAATACTTTCTCAGAAGTTTTTCCTGCACTTCTATACTCCACCTTACCTGTTTAACATGTCATGGGGCAATTCCCCAACTCCTCTTTGGGATTTTACTTCTGTCTTTTTATCATTCGTGCTAAAATGGAGGGTTGTCAGCCTGGTAATAATCTGTCACAATTGACCAAACTTTAGTTTTTCCTTAGTTCCCTGTCAGCAGTTTTCTCATTTTTGATGAAAACTCTCCCTGGTAGCGGATGACCCAATTCAGGATCTTGACACTTTATCCCTTTTGGTTCCTTTGATTTTTTTGTAATGGTCAAACACTTGATTCTCAGTTCTTCCCTTGAAGTTGACTATGGCCCATTCCTTTCTCATTCACTTGGGGCCTCTCTCACTTCATATGTGGGGCAGGTGCAGCCTACTTCTTTGTCTTTGTTACATGGAGGTTTTGATACAAGGACTCTCATGTGCATAGAACATGTGACAACTTGTGTTGACTTTGTGCTAGATGACAACCACACCTTTCCACTACCCTCTTCTAGTGGGGTTGCAGTTCTGATTGCTTGATCCATTTGTTGTGTCTTATCCAGGGGTGAAGTTTCTCTGTCTATGTCCTTAAGCTGCTGACTACTCTGTATGCTTGCTATCATATTCTGTCTCATTTCTTTGGTCTTCTTATCATGATCCATTCAGACACCTCTTTTGTTGTTTCATCCTCCCCCACCCCAATAAGGAAACACTTGCTTCCAGGACCTCTGTTTTCCTGAACTTTCTCTTTTCTGTCCTTGACCACCATGTTCAGTTGTCAATAATTCACATCTCAAAAGCTCAGACCCTGGTGGCAGATTGATTATCTTGCCTAAGACTAGACCATTCTCATTGAGTGGTTTCTTCACCTTCTGGTGTTTTCAGTGGATTCTATTATGGGTGTCCTGTTATCAGTGCCCTTCCACCTCTACTTCTCTACTCATTTCCACTCATTTGGTATCCAATCGCAGACTCTACAGGCCTTTGATGTCACCTATATGAGATCTTGCAAGTGGGATGTGTACAACCCCCAAAACATTAGTGTATTATTACTTACACTGGTGGAATGTTTCATCTATCCTGACTTTGATCTTCTTTGAGATTCTGTTTTCCACTCTTCAAAGTAGCTCTGAGGGAGAGTTGCTTATTTTTCTCCTTTCTTTTTTTTTTTCAAGTCTCACAACCACCTTATGCTAACTACATATTTTTATATATAAATTATGGAGATGGAACTCAAAGGGTGGCTGGTGTTACCTCACATGGAATACTTACCCTAAATCCACATTGAATGGGAAGAGTAAAGACAGTTTGAAACCCATCTGCCCCTGTTCTGTGTCCACTGTAAAGTTGGGATTTTCTGCAAGACTGCTTTGATGATTTCTTTATATATCTTCCAGATTATTCTGCACTTGTAAAAAAAGAAAAATACAAGAACAATTGGAGTGTTCTTGCCCTATCATTTGGGCTCGCACTTACTGTTTTTAGTCGCTATAACCTATTGCATTGTCTTTCAGTGCAGGACCTAATTCCAAATGATAATGGTCCACATACATCTGTGGTGTTCCCCCCACCCCCCCAATTTCTTCTAGTGGAGTAAGGGAAAACCCTTACTTCCCCAGTCCCAAACTGATGAGAAAGTCGATATGAAGAGTGCCTCATCAGGGGATGCAATGCCACTATTACAAGGCTAAGTTGACAACCCTTTATTTGGGAAAGTATAGCTGGGGTGTAACTTAGCAGTGTAGTGCAGTACACCCCACTCTGTTTTGGACCAACTCAATCGAGATGGTTAGGTTTAGCCAGATAGGTCTTGGGTTCAACCTGGACACAGGTCTGGGATGCTACTCCAAGGCTAAGTTGACAACCCTTTATTTGGGAAAGTATAGCTGGGGTGTAACTTAGCAGTGTAGTGCAGTACACCCCACTCTGTTTTGGACCAACTCAATCGAGATGGTTAGGTTTAGCCAGATAGGTCTTGGGTTCAACCTGGACACAGGTCTGGGATGCTACTCCCTGCACCTGAATTTTATGGTAAGTTTCTCACATAAGTATTTCTCCAATATGGAAAAGCTTGACTTACAGTCCTTAGCCACACTACACATTTGTGCTTTGCTTTCTGCCTTTGTGATAATGGATGGTTAAACGATCTATCATTCCACCCACCTTAGCAACATGTTAGCACTCAGCAAAAGATTCTCATGAAGAATATTCCCTGTTTGAAATGTCTGAGGTCTTCCACTGAATGTCTTCTCACTCGGCTTGCCTTATGGGTGTCACATTCCATGGATTTTCCCTTTCTGATGTTGTTTTCGTAAAGGAGCTCACCTTTGTAACTTCTCTGCACTGGCATCTCCACCATCTTCAGTGTGGGATTCTAGCTTTTTGGGGTGCAGAATGGTGAGTAGCATTTCTAAAGTTAACATTTTCTTTAAATGAAAATGTATTTTTGATAGATACTCACCTCTTCACTAACTCCCAATCTTCCTCTCCTCTTATGATGCGTGTAGTTTGCCTCATCAAGAATGAATCTGTGTTCATATGGATTAATGTTAAGAGAGGATGTGTCACCCTCCTATTGGTGAGGGCTATAGTCTAACGATGATGATGATTACACCATAGGCTGGTACAATACACATTGACTCATGTAGTGGTGAGAGCTTTGTTCAAGGCTTGTGGTATGTGCAGGAAGTTACATGTCAGTGTGCATGAGGTACTAGCTCTTTGTGGTACAGAAAGGTGAGCATCTATCTGAAATATAGTTTCAGGTAAAAGAAATGTTAACTTGCAAAATATAGTCATAATATATGTGCGTGTTTTTTGCTCATGGCTTTATCTAATGTTGTCAAGCTAGATCATAATTTTCAACATTAAAATGTAGCCATATTGTTTATAGTGGAAACTCAGGTATGTAATGTAATACATTTGGTTTCAGATTTAGATCATTTTCTGGCCACTGAGCTGGAAGAGGGAAAGCTTATTAAAAATCAGCAGCATCCAAAACACAACATCAATCAGCAGGATAATTATAATAACCTACTTGAGTTTGATACATTTGGTGATGGTGATACTCTTTCTCAATATTCAAAGAAAAATCAATGGTATGCTGATGAGGTTGTGAATCAAGACACAGCAAGTAAGTTCAGAGAAAAATGAACAAAAACATTTGGTAAAATTTCTTAAAGAAAATGTAATGATATGAATGTATATAAAAATAGCAATATAGCAATGAAATAATGTTTTTAAAACAGTATTATACTAACATTTTGTATATATTCTTTCTAAGAACTCCCCATGTTTTGCTTTTGTGGATTTTTATTTTTATAATGATAAAAATGCTTAAAGTATATTTTTACTTTTAAAGTTACACCCATTTGAAAACTGTTGGATAACATTATTTTTCTTGAACCAAATTTTTTTATATAAAGGTAATGTGATGATGTATGTTGTAAAAACTTAATATAAGCTTGAATTTGTTTCATTGTTGAGGCATAAAACATTTTTGATTTTGAGTTTACACCACAAAACATTGCTTTGTAAAAGCTACATCTCAAAACAAAACATTTGATCTCGTTTGAACAAAATTACTTTTTTTTACAAGTTTCTGAAGTGTTTCATGTGTAGATTTATGGATATCTCTCTCTCTCTTTGTCAGTAGGCTCACATATTTGTGTGAGATGTTTTTATTCAAAATATCACTGAACACCATCTAAAGTGGTACATAGCAAGGATCTTTGCATATTGTAATTAGTCTAAATATTGTCAACTACTCTGATATTTATTATATTAGTTTTACAAAATGTTTTTTCCATAAGATTGTCATGACTGCCCACCATTTCATTCCACTTTCTTGTTTGCATTGCTTCATACTAATCTTGATGAAACTTGCTACAAATACAGGATCCAAAATAAAACATTGTAAAATGATAAAACTCGACTGTGATATTTATTTTTTTCTATTCAACAGGTCTAATAAATGACTCATTACCACTAAGGGACTTCTCTTCTAATCCTCTGTGCAAAACTTTACATTTTAAAAATCGGTTTCTCCTATATACAATAGTAAAATGTTATCAGAAGTACTAGCATTATAGTTGAATTCATTACCTCTGTTTTACATGCTACACGTCTCTACACTTCTTTATTATAGGCCTACAGATTATCATTACTTTATTAAAAATAGAAAACATTCTTGAAAACCACATTTATGAAACTTTATTTTGCATTCAATATATCCATGTAAACATTAATTGTTAAACTAGTAATTTAAAGTATCCCAAGAATAGGAAGACTTTCAGTATATGAGTTTATAATTTTGTTTTTAGTGAAGCTTGTCCTGGGTATTCACACAAAGCTACATAAGGGTTATATATGCTATTTGTTCCTGGTTTTGAACTGATAGTTTAGTGTGAAAGCAGCAAATCAACAGTATCCACCACCAACTTTTAGGTTACTCTAATCAAACAGTGGTATTTGACTGTCATCATAACCGTAATGCACCCATGGCCTCAAAGTGCAAAGCACATTTTTGTGACAGTGAGAATAAAAATGTGGACCCTTGGTTTCACGATCTTCTACCCTAACTTCTTAGACACTTCTGGTTATTTTACTGGAGTAATGATATCTTGGCAGTTGGTTCTGTATTTACCTGAAACTTGAAAATAAACTTAATTCAAGAATATAGAATATAGAAGCATTATATTGACAGCATAACATGTTACTGATGTCCAAAGCAGTATTTTAAAATGCCATCCTAGGCAAAATTCCTGCACCATTATTATCAGTAAACACAGTAAATTACTTGAACAAAATATACCAATTTATATTAAACTTTTAGTTTAGTAAGCATATCTTTTTTTTTTTACTTTGAATAACTTGATTTTTTTAATTTCTTGGATTTAGTTTTATGTTTAAACTTATTACATTACTGTGTTTCTAGGTCAGTAAGACACAGCAAAGGATGTAAAATAGTGTGACATAGTTAATACTATTGAAAGTGAAATTAATATAAAATATTTTACTGATTTTAATGCCCTAGGCAATTGACTACACCCTAACTGATGCTCTTGTTCAACAGCAATGTTCTAATCTTTCATAAAATAAGAATTGTTATTATTATTGGGCTGTGATGGATTTATATATGTAGATTAAGACTGAGAATGGGATACACATTGTTTTGGATGTTAAGATTTAAAATCATCCATGTATTATAACTACTTTGATATTGCATTCATTTTACAAAATTGTATTAACTTTATTTAATGTTAACTTTTGGAAACTTTTTATATGGGAGTTAACTTAGTCAGTGTTAGACACTTTCAAAACTACTTTTAGATTAAAATGCAGATGAAATAAAGTATGTATTTCTCTTTAATGTTTTTAACATATTTAAATGATTCAGAGGAAGTTGTGAGCTTACCATGTGAATTTTGTGGACAGCAGATTTCAGAAGATGATCTTATACTACATCAGGTAAACTCAAGCACTGTGGTTGTACGTACTGAAACATTTCTGTAAAAACAAATAAACTTGAATCAATTTCTGCTTAACCATCCTATATGCTTTCATGGTTATCAGTACTATCACTTACTCAGTTATCTCTGAAAATTCAATTCTGGTATTTTATTTTTAGGAATATTCAAATCATTATTCTACTCCCAAATATCATGTTTATTGTGTAATCTGTTCATGGTTGTTTGATTTAATTTAAATACTGTTTTTATCCATCTTTGGTTACACTATATTATTAGTTATAGATCTTTTTATCCCATTTTGATTACAGTGTATTATCATTATCAGTTACACATGCTGTTTTATCTCACTTTGATTACAATATATTCTTACGTATAGTTACTGTTTATATCTCATTCTTATTAGTGTTTTATTGGTTGTGGATACTCTTTTTTTTTTTCTTATTTCATAGTGAAAACAATGATGTTAGTTGCACTATCCTTGTTACAGGGCATTATTAGTGTTTTATTGGTTGTGGATAATCTTTTTTTTTTCTTATTTCATAGTGAAAATGATGTTAGTTGCACTATCCTTGTTACAGGGCATTATTAGTTTTTATCTACTTTTATTATAGTGCATAATGTTATAGAAACTAAGACACATTATTGCTGTTTTCTCAAACAAATTGATTAATTTTGTTTTAAGTTATTTTAAATGTGACATATACATATATATCGACATGTAAATCAGAATAAATAACTGATTATCCTTCAGAGTGGATGTCAGATTGATCAACACAATGAACAAGAGGTGAACACACGAGTTGAACAGGAGGAGGAACAAAAAACAAAGAACTTGTTTAGTAGATTTGAAGCATATACATCATCCAAGAAAGAGCAATACAAAAAATGTGATTCAGACCATAGTGAAATTATTCCATGTGAATTTTGTAAAGATCCTTTTTCTCTACATGAAATTGAAAGACATCAGGTTAGTCATTGTTTGGAGATACAATAGACATTCAAGAGTTGTATTTTGAAACAACCACAAATACTTGTTGTTTGGGAATCCAAAAACAGTCTTTTGGTGATATTCAGTATCATCAGTTAGTAATTGTTTGGTAATAAGTAGATATTAATTATATGACATTTAAATATTTATGTTAATTAATTTTGGAGACAGTAGATAGTATAAAAAAACAGGTTGATGATTGTCTAAAAATGATAACCATTCTATATTTCAAGTATGTAAACGATGAATTATTTTAACATTTGTCTAATTTCAGTGACAAAAAATCAAGAAACTCAAGACTGCCTAGAGAGCTCACAAATATTTAAGTAAACATTTTAACTTGGTAGCTGTCAAAAATGAGCTGTTTTGTTTATATTCATACTTTGAATTTGTTAGTTTAAAGCTATTTAAATCACTATAAACAGGCATTCAGATATTTTTCGTATCATGAAACATGTTTGTATAGTTAATTTGGTGAAAAAACATTTGAAACTTTGGTAGGTAGATATGATTTTTTTTAATGATTGTTATTTGGGGTTTGTCAAATGTGAAATTTTTTATGGAATTTTATTTAGTTGTATCAGAAGCTACAACATGATTGTTTGGCGTTATAGAAAATAATATTTCAAACATTTTGAAATTTGCATATAGTAACAGTTGTAGATGTCAAAGCAAAGAAGAATGTGTGTATAAAATTGAGTTATTTTCTTATTTTGTTTTACTCCATAGAGTGTCTGTAATTCTAATTCCTTGCTACCCTTGCTTCCGGACACGCTCTATCCTCCTGCCTCTTTTTTAAGAGGGCTTGATTCAGAATCCGGTACTGGTGTTTCAGAGTTTCTTAATTCTAAACATCTTACAAAAGTTTCAACTCCTTTAGTTAACTTGAATATAAGAAGAAACTTTGATCAAAATAAAATTACTAACAAGAAAATTCCAGTCAACTCTACAACACCATGTGGAGAAGCTGTAGGTTCTCTGGTACATGTTAATGGTTCTGGGAAGAAAAAAAAGAAAACAGAAGGCATTGCTAATTGTGATAATGAGAGAGATGGGAGATGGCAGTCTCGACATAGGCAGGAAGGAAGAAGAGAAATGAATGTGGAAAGAGAAAATATTGGTAGAGTCAGACAAACAAAATTGTCTAATTCATATTTACAAGAGATGAAAGCTAACTTGAATCATGTTCGAATCCCAAATGAAGATCTTCTGCATGTGGCAGGTGAGGCATGGAAGAACTCTTAAAATGTGTACTCTCGTTTAACTTGGTTGCTAATATTTGAATCCTTATCGAATAAACCAATATCATATTAAACAAATCCATTACAACATAAAAGTAATTTTCAGAGAAAAATGCTCAAATAATAGCTTAACACAGTAGTTCCCAACTGCCAGTCCACAAGACAGTTTAAAAAAAATGTGTTTTAAAATATAGCTAGCTACTCAAATATATTATTTACAATGTAATTTTAAAGTAGTTTAAAAAGTTAATATTGTATGAAGCAGTTCTCAGTTGGAAGAATGTTCGGAACCACAGGTTTAGAAGATACAAGTAAACATTTCTAAAGATGGTTTCAAATAATACATTGTTTTTTTTTCTGTATTCATTAAAAATCCATTTATCCTCATATGACAATGTCTTTCTATAAATTCAATATCTTTCAAACTAAAGGATTTATGAATATATTTGATTAAGATGCTTATAATTGTCTCTTTGAGTAAAGTTTGTGTGTCTTCACAAGGGTCCACATTATCAGAAGAAAAAACAGAAAGACATTGTTTAAGGTTGTCTTCCTTTGAGTAGGCTTCATTAATTTTTTCAGAATTTCATAAGATGAGATTGACTCTTCACCTAATTTTCACCTTTTTTCTATTTCAGTAGGATTCATACATTTGTTAGAAGTGTTCCACTCTTATTATTAGAATAATTTCACTTTCAAAATTAATGGTTCTTTCTTGGTGAGGTTCTTGGGTATTTCTGAAGAGATATCATGATCAAAAATACTTCCCATCAATATTTATGGTTTTCTACATTTTAATGGGTTTTTACTTCTCTTTTTGAAGGATTCTATAGGACCAAAGTAACTCCCTCCATTATCTTTATGGTAATTTCTTTCTTTTCAGAAAGGACAACGGGACTTGAAGAAGGATTTCACGTGATAAAAAAAGATCCTCACCCAATGTTTTTTTTCTATCTTTGAGTAGGATTCACGGGTTTCAGAAAGGGGCCATAGAATCAGAAGAATTTACTACACCATCTTTCATATCATAGCCACTTGTTTATGACTTTTTATGGTTCAGTAGCTTTTGGACAATTAAGATATTGGGAATTCTTACTTTTTGAAGATAATAAAGCCTAGTAATCACATAAACTTGCTAAATAGAGTATGTCTTCTGTTTAAAGAAACTGTATTCTGGGTGTGAGAACAATTTTTTATTTACATGCAAATAGATTACAGAAGAAATAGTAATTTAGTCCACATGGTTCTACTAAACTAGGCAATGTTACTGGGTCAAATGAAGTGCAATACTTTTATGACTGTAAATTTTCAAGAAAAGCCTTTTATCTGTTCATTCTTATCTTACCTAACTTAGTAAACAGTTTTATTTCTCATGACATTATCATATTACAGAAATGAATCTTACCCAAGAATGGTAACTGCATTTATCATTTGTATGAAATTTTGAAGTTTGTTGTAAAAAAGAATTACTAAACTATAAAGAGAAGTATGAGTAAAAATATTTTTGCTGTGGGAAATTTGATAACACACTTTAATACTAGGAAACTGAAGAATGTTTCATTTTGTAATATTTCTCATTATTTATGTAGGTAAAAAATATATATGTTGTATCACTATAGGAGCCAGACCCAAAGGAGATAAGTCCAGTAATACATCAGAAAATATCTTTTTGGAAGAGAAAAGCCAGCTTGTAACAAGGAAAGTCTATAGAAAACCTAATACTAATGATCCTCAGTCTTCAAAACAACACGAGTTTATGAGGTAAGAGATGAAGAATATGACTTACCATTCTATCTAAACTCTATGAGACCTGTGTGCACCCATAACCTAAGAATAATGCTCCTCAGTCTTCAAAACAACATGAGTTTATGAGGTAAGAGATGAAGAATATGACTTACCATTTTATCTAAACTCTATGAGACCTGTGTGCACCTATAACCTAAGAATAATGCTCCTCAGTCTTCAAAACAACATGAGTTTATGAGGTAAGAGATGAAGAATATGACTTACCATTCTATCTAAACTCTATGAGACCTGTGTGCATCCGTTGTATGGTTTGTTTTTGTTTATTTTTCGTTGTGGATAAAACATCTGAATGAAATAGTTTAAACCTTTCTACAGATCTTGTAGCTTCTACTAATAAGTTTAATTTTTCCATGTGATATTTATATGAATTTGCAGTTCTAAAATTTGGAAAATATTTCATTGTAATGTTTTTTAAAAAACTATAAAATGCTTACCTTTATTGTAAATTTTAATTACTGAGTTTTATGTCTTCCTACATTCTTTTGAAACTTTCCTATAAAGTGTTTATTTTTTTAACTAAATTTTATCTTTATTTTGATCCTAAAAAGAAACACATGCAGTTTTGCTGTGCTTATAATCAATGGTGTCCAATAAAAAAAACTTTTTTACCATACCAAAATTATAGGCAAGCCAACTCTTTATTTTTAAATTGTTTATCAAAAGGTCATAAGTAATGTGTGTAATCAGTTTTAAACCTATTTGTTTCTATATGTTTTTAACACTTATTTTGAATGATTTTCTTGCCCATTCAAATAGTTGCTTAGGCTGATATAGCCTAATGCAAGCAAGGCCTAAAACAATGGCCTTGTTGGTGGATCAAAATTTGATATGCTTGAGTGCGAAATGAATTACATAAGCCTACCTCAGTTTGTTCTACGAAAAACATTTCTTATTATATATAAAATGAAGTACAAAATAATAAACATGATTTCTAAGGTGACACCTCACCTTCACACACAGAATAGCTTCATTCCTCATGTGTCTGTCTATAAGATCTGCATACCACTAGCCTTGAGCTAACACCCACTTAAAAATCATGCATTAATGTGAACTGTGCTAGTGCATGATGACCTCATCATGTAATGATAGCCTTTCACCAATAGGAGGGTGATTCAACCTCCTTGAACAGTAACTTCATTTAAGCACTGCACTCAAAATAACATTATTGTTAAACAAAGCAAGAAGAAAATGTGCTGGAAGTGGGTCGTTTCTTATTCCAATGGTTACCTTTTCTAATGCACCTCGTTCTTCTAATCTACTTGACTATTTTGTCCTGGTTTACAGCCCTTCTTCATTTCCATTCATTGATTCCTAGTCTTTGGAATCTCTCTTATCTGCTTGGGGAGATTGGGCCCTTAACTTCTATTTTCCTTTCTTGTGCCCACTTTTTGCACTTTTGTCTCTCTCTTTTTTTTTTCCACCTTCCTGTGTTGCCTTTTGCCACTTTCTCTTATGTCTGAGGCAATTCATAGTTCTTCAGGGGAAGACTTTTGGAAAGGTTTGGACTCTTCTTTTTACTACATTAACCCACTGTACTTCTGCTGCTCTATCTTTCCTTACTTGGTTCATCTGCTTTTGGGATGGGATGCTCTCCTAACTAATGTACTTCTTTCTCATCCTTGTATCTGAGATCTTCATTGGATTTTGTTTCTTTGTCCAGAGGTTTTTCATGATATTCCTGGCTCACTAAATAACCATGCTGTTGCAGCCTAGCATCAGTCCTCATTATCTACGATGTTTTCTTGTGTTTCTTTGCCTCAGTGTTCTGTTCCTGTTCCTAGGGTTGCTAAATCTGCAGCTTACCTCCCATCCCAGCTTTCCAGCCTTATTCTACTTCCTGCCCTCCCACTGACCATTGCCTAGGTTGCCACACTTTTTATTGGTGACACCCTGTTAGATCTAACCCTGTGAAGGCCCTTTATCTTTCTCTGCCAGCCTTTGGTTATTTAGGTTCTCAACTACAGCCTGTCTTTCCTCTTCTCTTCTTGTCCTGCCCTTTTCATTTTCTTTCCTCCTCCATCCATTTCCCTTTGTCTTCAGTGTTTTATGGATGTTGTCTCTGTTCTCTTACACAAGAACACTATCGTGGAGGTATTTACACCTACACCTGATTAATGCTCTTGTCTTACAGTTCTGTGTTCTCTCTTTTAGCTTTGCATCTGCTCCTTCTATTTTCACACAAATCATGGGGACATTTGCCTGCCCTGTTCTCAGGTTGGGGCTGAGGTTCCAATTTATTTGGAACGTTGGCTTCTCCCTACCACTTCTCAGGAGATTTTATCTCATACCTGCATTTTTCTGTGGTAGGCTGCTTGTCTGGGCTGGCTTGTTCAGTCTTCCAAGTCTTTTCTCATACCCACCCTACATTTGGAACTTTTGAACATCATCTTCAACTCTCATCTTGGTTGGGCTCAGCCTTCACCACTTCACTTAGGAGAGATGAAGTATGTTATCCTCAAGGTTTATGATTCTCCTTTTTACCCTGCACATGTGGTTCATTTGCTTTAGAGGCCTCTGTCTTCTTTTGCACCACTTTTTATTTCAGCCATACATACTGGTGCCTTTCCCAATGGATGTTGGATGCATAACTGATTGGACCTTTCTTTAGGTACATTGTCCTTGATTTGGTGCTGCCCCTTCTCCTTTTCTCAAGCTTTTGTCTTGGCAACTAAACCATACCAACTGCATGGTGGGCATCCCCTTTCCACCTCTAACTGGATCTGTATCTCTTCACTGATTCTTCTCTAAAAACTATATACATTTGTGGATGTGGGCTCTGGGGCAGCATTCACTTCACTTCTATGTCTTTGCCCTTCTTGTCGTCCATTGGGCATTTCCTATTTCCTCCCTCTTTTTGTGGATCGATTGGTCATGATTCACTCTGAACATTCCCTGGTAATTTTTTATATCAACTATCAGGGTGGATATCCATTCCTAGACTCTTTACTTCTATGCATTGGTCCTGCTATTTTGAGCTTATTCCTATCAGGTTTGTCTCATGGCTAGTCATGTTCCTAAGGTTTTCCTCTCAGCCAAACAGGGTTATAACCACAGAGTGGTATTTCCACCCTTGGGGTTTTTGTTTGGTTTGCTCTTCATTGAGCATGCCTTTGCCACTCAGCACCATACTTCTCCTTTTCTGATCTCTAGTTCCTCATCCTTCAACCCTGTCAGCCGATGCTGTCAGCCAGGACTGGTCTCACCTTTTCTATACACCTATCTTTCTCCTTGTCTCCTCCCTCATGTTGTCTCTTGATACTCGACACTTCTTGGTGGTCCTTTTGGTGGTGCTTCTTTGGCTGGCATAGCTCTAATATTCTCTGCTCCTTTAATTGGTGTCCAGACCATTGTCTTCCTTTACTCCATTCCTACTCTCTTGCTCCTACCATGTCTCTCTATCTTTCCCAGGAGTGTTGTCCCTTACTATTCACATGTAGGATATGTCCAGTCCACTAACTGCAGGGTTGGGCTCTCTGATCCTTTAACTTCTTCTTGACCCATTCCTGTTGTCCTTCAACCCTGTTCTTCTATCAACTGAAGTATCAAGTTTTCAATGTTAGTCCATCTGCCTCTATCTTATTCCTGGACATCCTTCTGTGACCCATATTTGTTCTTTTTCACATGGTTTGACCATGGATTGCTTGTTTCCTCTCTTTCTGGTTTTTGGGTAGTTTTATCTCCTACATTTTACCTTTCCCATTGCTATGTGGTTTTTCTTTGTTCCAATCCTTACTTTTTCACTGATCTTCTCATCCTACTCCCATGCTTGACTGTCTCATTTTCACTAACCTTTGGATGAGATTTTTTGGGCTGATATGTGAATGAAACTGCACACTTCACCTGCCTTTATCTTCATTGCTTGACTGTTTTGTCTCCTACAGGATTTTCACTCCCTCTAGTCCTGGCTTTTCCACATGCCTATATGCCATATTTGAGAAGGATAAGTAAAAATTTATTTTCCAGTGCCATTTTCCCCTTTATTGGATCCTGCCAGGTGGCTGGTTTGTATCCAGGGTATTCTTATTTCCCAAGATCCACATTGGGTCAGGGGTAACAGAAAGCACTCAACCCATTCGCCCTGGCTCACCCTGTGTTGAGATGGGGTCTCTTGCAAGACCAGTAGAGGTATCCTTGTGGTATTCACAATACTTAATTGCCTGGTCAAGACCATAACATTTCATGAACTACCATAAAAAAAAAAGCTAGCACCAGGGAAGCATCTGCCCACTTCTTTGGCTTGCACTTGCCAACTACTTAAGATAGGGTGTATTGTCACCCATTGCACAATCTCCTGTAAAAGACCTATCTGGTAGGCATTTGATGGGGATCCAGGTACTTTGAATCTCTCCAATGAGAATTCTCCCCCTTACTTCAAGTGGAGCACTAAAGACTCTTGTTACTTATTAGTTCCTAGCCACTGGGGTGGTAGACCTTGAAGAATTCCTCACTGGTGAGAAGTAGAGCATGGTGACAGTGTGTGTGTAGTGCAGATGACCCTTCAAACAGCTAATGTGCTCTCTTTCTGCAGAGAGTCTGTCTGTCCAGTTGAGTCAAGGTAATGTATGATCATACTGTAACCACACTACACTTAACTTGCCAGCCACTTGAGTGCAGGTGCTCGGTTGGTCATGATCTAATTCCATCCATTCTTGTGATGCTTGGGACTCTTTTGCCTTTCCTTATGTTTCGTTCCGGGCAAAAAGTATGCACTGGTTGAGATGAGGTGCAGTCTTCCATACTCCATGGGCTTTCCCTTTTGGGCACTTTTTGAAGGGAGCTCATCTGGATTTAATTTTTGCACCAGCCTCTTCAGCACTTGAGTGTGGGAATCTAGCTATTCTGTATGTGGAGGTGAAGTGTTATCTCAAAAGTTAATATTTTCCTTACCTGAAAATGTATTTCTGATAGATACTCACCTCCACAAACACTTTTCCATCCATTCTTCCCACTTCCAGCACATTTTCTTCTCGCCTTGTCCAAGAATGACATTTTTTTTATTTCAAGTGCTTAAAGTGAGATACTGAGCAAGGAGGTTATGCCATCCTCCTATTTGTGGAGGTCTATTTTCATAAGATGATGTCATTATGCACTAGTACAGTTCCTGTGTTAAACATATGATTTTAGGTGGGAATTAGTTCAAGGCTAGTGGCATGCAAATCTCATAGGCAGGTGCCCAAGAAATGAAGTTTTTCTGTGTGTAAAGGTGAGTATCTATCAGAAATACATTTTCAAGTAAGGAAAACTCTGCAAGCTATAAAAAAAAATCATAACTACGATTCTAGTGGAAGTTGTTTACAAGAACCTTTTCTTCTAGTGAAAATCACCAAGCTAAGCTTAAATTCCATTGTTCTGAATCCCTGCTGAAATGAAAGCCTTTTTTGGCTTTTACAGTTAAAAAGAAAAAGAAATTTTATGGTGTATTTAGATCAGTAATTTATGACTTGGAGCTGAGATATAGGCAATTACATCACACTATAAAAATTGAGATTGAGAAACAATGATTGACTGACAACAATTTTACAAAACTACAATTACATTCGAGTTAGAAGGACAAATTAGTGCTATTTTGTTCAAAAACTATTCTTACTTTCTTCCTAGGGTCTAAGAATACAATAGTATACTCAGAACAAATTTAAGAAATTCAGAATATTTGTTTATGCAGTTAATAGTTAAAATGTAAGTAATGTGGCTTAGCATTGTTTTTACAGAATATATTTAATGAAAGCAGTGTATGATAATCCATTAACTTGATACTGATAAAAATAAAAGCTATATATACAAATTTTGTCCAAGCTAGTTAAAGATACTTCCATCCAAGTTATTGTATATTTGTTTTCATCTAATCTAGATCTAGTGTTTTCGTCTCTTCTACTATATTTACGTTTCTTTTCAAGCTAGTTTGACAAAGTTGTTTCCAAGCTTGGTGTATATTTTTTCATACTATCTAAATTTACTTGTTTCCTTCCAAACTAAATCTACCTACTTATGTCCAAACATGGTATACATCTTTCGATTCAAGCTAGATCATATTTTTATCAAAGCCAAATCTTTGTGTTTCCACCTATACTTAGAGCTACATGATTCCCTTCAAACTACTAGATCTACATGATTCCCTCCATACTATTAGATTAATATGCTTCCTTTCAATCTACTAGATCTGGATGATCCCTTCCAGACTACTATATCTACATGATTCCCTCCATACTATTAGATTAATATGCTTCCTTTCAATCTACTAGATCTGGATGATCCCTTCCAGACTACTATATCTACATGGTTCCTTTCAAACTACTAGATCTGTGAGGTTCCTTTCAGACTACTACATCTGTGAGGTTCCTTTCAGACTACTACATCTGTGAGGTTCCTTTCAAACTACTAGATCTGGATGATTCCTTTCAATCTATTAAATCTACATAGCTACTTTCAAACTAATAGATCTATGTGATCCCTTCCAAACTACTAAATCTACATAGCTACTTTCAAACTACTAGATCTATGTGATCCTGTACAAACAACTAGACTTACATGATTCCTTCCAAACTACAACTCTCATGTTCCAAGTAATTGTACCTGTATGATTATTGACTTGGAGAAATTTTCCACCATGCATGATGCTTATTTGGGTCCGCACAGTTATTATTTTTTGTTCATCTTTAACAGAGAATACAACATTCAAATTCATACTATGATTTCGACCTGTACAATCATTAAATTTGAAGTCTGAATTTTCCACCTTGCACTATTATTTGCAACACAACAGTAGACTTGCATGGTTCCTTTCAAATTGCTAGATCTGTGAGGTTCCTTCCAAACTACTAGATCTATATAGTCACTTTGAAACTACATAATCTATGTGATTCCTTTCAAACTTCTAGATATACATGGTTCCCTTTAAGTTACTAGATCTACATGGTTCCTTTTAAGTTACTAGATCTACATAGCTACTTTCAAAGTGTTAGATCTATGTGTTTCTACCTAAGCTAGATTGATTTGGTTCCATCCAAAGTGGATCTGTATGTTTTGCTACTTTTTTATCTGATGCATTTGTGTAGTTTGGTACTAATTTCCAAAAAAGTTTTACTTTAGTGTTATTTTAGGATATATACATTGAATGTAATATTTTCTGCTCTTAGATATGAATTATAACAATACCATTTGAAATTTATTTTGGGGATTTTTCTCAGATAAGAGTGCAATAATATATGGCCTTGCTTTGGATATTACTTTAGTTTTATAGCACACACAGAGTAACAGTAAACATTGTACCCTTTTTTCTGGACATATTATTAAAAATCTATTTTTGTTATTCTTGCTTGCAATCATCAAATGGTTTCTCTTAGGTGACATGAGCAAATACACTGTATTTGATAATATTCATTGTGTGGCATATATTTTGATTTTTTCCTTGTATTTCAAGTAAATTTTTTACACTTTAAAATTACAGTCACTCAGTAGAAGATGAAGAAGAGAACTTACCAAGACAGCAGTACCCGGGTCAAAATTACCGTGCAGGATTTATGGGGAAAACTAAGGTTAGTGATTATTGTTTATTTGGGATTGGTGTTACATTTTCATAAAATTGGTACAACCTACTGTTCACAGTATGTATTTGGTAGTCCAGGGTTTTCTAGATTAAGAACCCAGGTTCCCCGAGAGCTGCAGGAAAATGTCAGGAGGGCCATAGTAGATACACAGTGCTGTTAATGTACTCGGTACCTATAGGTTCATTGGGTGGGAGCTTCAATCAGGATGTGGAATATTCATGAGAAGCCTTTAGCTGATAAAGTTTGGGAAACTATGGTCTAGGTATTGTATTGGTCTCTTAAGCTATCAGAACACAATGTACTGACTTTTAAGAGCATCACAGATTGGATGTAGAATCCTAAAACATTTTTGTTACAGAACTCTTCCATTTTATTGTTGTGTCAAAGTAGAACTGTTTTTTTTATATATTGAGTATTGTAGATTTGATGTAGAATCTGAAAACATTTTATATACTATAGAACTATTCCTCTTTATTGCTCTATCAGTGTAGAACTGTTTTATTTTATGCATCCTACTTTTCACTTTATATTCCAGTATTATGTTCTTGTCTCATCATGTAATAATTAACTGTAATGTTACAAAGTGAGTTTATAACCTGTGATGAAATCAAGTGTATAAGATATTTAAATAATTCAATATTATTAAATCTTGCAAGATTTTTTAAGCAGCCAAATGTAAGATTTCATGTTTTTGAAAGATTTTCAGCAGGAATAATAATTTTGCATGAACCAATCAAACTAATGTTTTGAAAATTAGAGTGCTCTATTATGTCTTTATGCTCATACACGATTTTTAATGGACAAGTTTAACAGTCAAATTAGAACAATAATATTATGTCGAAATATGAGCATTTGAACTTTTAAAATTATTTGTATATCTAATTGTTTATACATTGAAACAAATCATTAACATTTTTGAAGTAGTTTTTTGTGTCACTTAAATCAAACCATAGACAGATTCTCATGCTAAGAACCATTAAGATATTTTGTTATTTGTCTTTTACATGAAAATTACCAAGCTACATTTATATAATAAGTCTACCTTTGTGACAAAACTGATGTTTGCCAATCTATGAAATCCACACTTGAAGTGTTTGTTGTTTTCTTTGTACAAAACTACACAATTGACTGTTTGCAATCTGTCCATAGGGAATGAAACCCTAAATTTTATCCTTGTAAGTCCATAAAGTTACCAAAGTCCCACTGGAGTAACTGAAGTGTTTGAAACTGTATTATTTACACATATCAGTACAGGTAGATATATTTAATTGATACATATATTTGATATATTAAATTTTGATTAAAATCATCTAATGATAAAGAAAAAGTACCTGGGAATGTAAAAGTATGAAATGTTTTAAATGCTTCCTAGTTGGTTGGTGACTGTGTGTGTGTTACTCAAACCAGATTTCAATGTACACAGACTTGCTGCTCTTAAAAACTTGTGGAGCAAGTGTTTGATCTAAATGTATTTGTATTACTCAAACTATGTTTCAATGTACATAGACTTGCTACTTTTAGACTTGTGGAACAAATGTTCAATCCAAATGTGTTTGTATTACTCAAACTAGATTTCAATGTATGCAGACTTGTTGTTTTTAAAGATTTATAGAGCAAATGTTTGATCCAAATGGGCGATGGTAATACATGTTAGATGATCATCATATTGTTATAAACCACTATCAGAATATTACTTAAGATGAATAACAATAGTAACAATTATACATACAAGATCAAAAACAGTTTGTGAGCCTAAGTTTTAAAAAAGGTAAATGTTACATCACAGAATCACGGCCACAGTAAAGAATTTACCTCTTGCCATTACCAGCAATAAGTGTGTCAATATATGTGAAGCATTTTCTGCTGTGTGTTTGCTACCATGTTTTTATGGGTTATACCAGCATTCTTAAATTCAGTAGTTGAAGAACTGTAATGTGCATTTTTATCATTGGCAATCATACTATAATATACATAGTATATATATATGTATATATATATATATATATCTGTATACTGTTCGAAATAATAAGTACAATGTGATGCCATCTGTTGAACATGACTTTCACTAGGACTGTACGTGAAGGTTTGATTATATCTTTATTGATGTCATTTGCAAATATAGTACTAAAAAATAATGGAGTTCTTAAAAAAAATGTTGTTTTTTTTTCAATAAAGGGTACCACTTTTAATATATAAGAACGTTACAGTTTATACCAGCATAATCCCAACACTTTTCCCATACAATACTTCCCAGAAACATCCTTTTTTAGAAAATGTTCACTTTTTCTAAAGGTTTTTTCAATGAGGATGGCATTTATGCTAGTTGGTTTAATTTTTAGTACAGTTAAGCATAATAATCACTACATATTAAGAGGAATTGATAGCAGATACTGTTAAAAATTAATATCACAGATAGTTCAAGATTAATGTACAAACGTTTTTTCTTTTTGTTTTCAGGTTCCCGATGTGTAGACTTGTTGTAATGACTACATTAGGTGCCTTGTTTACCTGGCAACAGGTTTCTGTTTTGCCATTTCATTTGATTTTAACATGTACAGACTATCTTTACATAATTCTGATTTTCAGAAGAAGCACTTTGATCTGTGTTCAAGATTGCAGAATAATAATTACACATTTTCTTAAAGGGATTTTTAATATCCTTGAATTTCTGCAAGCTTCCAATGCTGTATGTAAGAAACAAAACATTTGAAGTATGTTCTTTCAACATTTATCCAGTCAATCATTTACAATGACTTGCAAATTGTTTAAAGAATGGTAAAAGGAATTTTAATGAGTCTTCAGCTACAGGGTGAACTTGCATTCCACAAAATATTCTTCTTTACTTATAGTTCAATGAAGTCGATTAAATGTGGTTTAAAGTCTGTATCCTTGGTTTTGACCATAAAGTTGTAAAAAAAAAAAACATAATTGAATTTAAATAATGTTTTTTTTTGGAATTCTGATCTATTTTGAACTTACTGAATTAAGTGAATGCTTGTATCAATATAAAAGATTTTTTTCTTAATGTTACTGCAGAAAATTTGGGTGAGAATCCAAGGAAAATTAACTTCTTCTGAATTAATAACCCAAGGTAACTCGGGTTGAACTTGGCACTGAAATTTGGAATTGTTTTTTTTCAAATCTGGAAATCCATATTTAGGTCAAAACATTATATGTTAATCTAAAAGTGTTTAACTTAAGGATAACATACATTGATTATCATTAATAATTTGAAGAAAACGACTATGTTTGAACTAGAAAATGCATAGTTGCCAAGATAACAGTGACTTAAGAATTTAGTTTGAATTGTAATATTGTAAATTATTCTTTAAGAAATTTGTGCAAACTTAGATGTTTCTGTCTTAAGTTAGATAGCTTATTTTGTTCTCTCCTACAGAACTAATAAATTTATGTTATCAACTGCAGATGAAGAAAGAAACAGTTGAGTTGAGCCATAATTGTCAATAAAACTGTGAAATCTTAGCCTATAAACCTCAATCACAGTTGGAAATTTCCTAATTTGAACCATTGGAAAATCTTGATAATGATTGAGTAGGAATTGAGCTAAGACCATAAGTTTTGATTGCCCACATTAATATACAGAGAGAGTAAATAGAACAGATAATATATATATAAAACAATTCTCTTCTAATTTAACAATGTATTCTGTCATATTTGTGTTTATAGCAATATGATGTAGAAAATTACTTACTGAGCTCCCTGATGACTTGTGATACAACCAAGTTAAATATTTTTCAAAAGGTCAATTTTCATTAGTTTTTCAAACTGTCAAGAAATCTTTTAAGACTTTGTGAGTTTGTGTAATTAACCTGTAGTCTGTTAAGCAGTTTTGTTTTTAAGCAGCAAATTACCAGTGTTTCTTACAGGTTTAGTAATTTGTGCAAAATAAATAAGATGTATATATGTATGAGTGGAAATCATGTTAGCTGATTTGTTTTATAGAAATATTTAAGTTTTCAAGACGTTCAAGTCACAAAATTTTAATCCTAATTCTACGTTAGTAGTCGGCTATTAAAATTTTTTACTGAAGTGTCTGTAGAAAACTAAATTTGTTTTAAAAGCTGTCTAAAGATGGCGCTAGCGATTTGTTTTTTAATTGTATTATTTGTAAGAATGAATAGGTTTCAAGCAGTTATCAAATAAAGGTCAGTTTACAAACAAAAGAAAACCGAGTATATTTATATTAGTTTTAATTTTCATTATTATAAGGAAGAAAGCACTTTGAAATGATAACGGTACGTCACACCTTGAGATCAAATTTACTGCTTAATATAAAATAACATTTCTTTGTTTTTATATTTTTGTAATAGGAAAACAAAACTAATGTATAACACCGACTGATACAAAAGACTTCTCAAACTTGAGTTATGTTTTATTTTTTAAAATGAACTATTAAACATTGGTTGTGTTCTAGTAAATTCATCTCTGCAATAAGTGTCCACACTACACCAGACTTGGTGGATTATTCTGCATAAAATACGTTGATAAACATCGTATCTTTGTAACATTGTTCAATTTACGCTTAAAAAACCAAGATGTATACGTGAAGAGCATAATATATATTCCAGTAATATAAAAATTGTGCTAGACTTGTCTGTATAAATCTGACTTACGGGAATTGGAATAATATAATACACTTTTACGAATCAGCTTGTGTGTGTATGGATATATATATATACACACACACACACACACACACACACACACACACACACACACACACACACACACACATGACCTAAGTACATACACTTTTCTATGTATTTCTTGAAGACAGTGAATGTATATATGACTCCCAGTGGCACAGCGGTATGTCTGCGGATATGCAACGCTAGAAACCGGATTTCGATACCTCTGGTGGGCAGAGCACAGATAGCCCATTGTGTAGCTTTGTGCTTAGTTACAAACAAAATATATATCTGAAAGTAAATTTGCACAATAAAATGATTCACAACGTTCCAGCTTTAATCACTATACGGTAAATTTGATATGATACACCAAACATGTTAATGCTGACAGAATAAAGATTATTTTCGTGAAGTAAGTCTAAGAGTAAAAAAATAGTTATCCCGTGTTTTTAAGTAGCACAGTGGAACGAAATACAACTTTTAGGTCAGTGAAGATACAAAGGTTTTTAAAGAAAGCTCTTATGTTTGATTTATTGTAATGGTAAGACTGTTGTAAGTCCACATTTACCTAAAATGAGCCGGGTGGAGTTGTTAACAAAGGACTTGTCCTATTTTCTGTTTGGTGATTGGCCTGAGTCCGGGAAAGACAGCGGGTGTTGTTAGGCAGAGTGCCAGGGAATTTACAAACTGGCTGTCTGTAAATTTCAGGGTCAAGATCAAGGACAGCCGTCCCCTGACTTCCTCGTAGAAGACAACAAGGGCCCGACTTCTGTGAAATCGACAAGGAGAAAACCAAAAAAACTATACTTTGACCTAGTTCATTCAAAGTAATTTGGATTAACTAGTCATTTACATTTTATTATACAGAAGGAAAAAGTCAGTTTTTTACTTCCCTATGACGAGCACTTGGTGTAATAACCAGTTTCTTATTAGGAGTATCCATCAATATGTCTACTTCAGAGAGACAATCAGGTCTTCAAAAAGGTGTGAAAAGTGTTGATACGTCGGTGTAATATAAGGGTTCTTTCTTGACCAAGAAAGACTACCTCCCACTATATTTTTCTCTGGAAGTAACTTTAACCAATATTGTAAAGTCTAAGATTAAACAATGGCATAATATAATAAAACATCACGGCTAAAACACGAATCAAACATTGTGAATCATACATGATGTAATGTGAACTAAAACTGATATCACACTTAAAACTGGAGTAAAATGTCAATTCAACAAGTGGTGCATAAGAAAAAGGAAAAATTGAATTTTAAGGCCCAGGTTTTCAGGTTCGGAATACAAGAAAAGAAAAATGTGAAGCTCTGAACGTAAAGAAATATTTTTAGGTCCAGCAGTGTTTCTTCACGATAATTAAGGCCTGGTCAGATTTGGACTTGTACAGTTCCTCTGTAGTGATACAGTGATGGAAATATTAACAACGACATTACGTGATATAAAACATTTACGGTCTTTCTGTGATAGACAAATCAGTATCACGGAACATTTACTTCATTCAAGACTAGTGCGTTTGTTCTTTTAATTTGTTTGAACCAGTCAACAATAATATTCAAAATCAAGATTATAAGAGCCTAAAAGCATAGATTCGTTTGTGATATTTATTGGGAAAGACTTGTGACTTTTAATGTTAATATGACATTTGTATATGCGTGGTTAACATAAAACATAGATTATATTTTGGATTCTGATAAAAATCAACCTTTTTCGCAACTTAGTGTAATGAATGCCCAACATGCCTATGTATTTCATTCGACTTGATAATAAATTGGATATCGAATCAACAACGTCTTTCTTCAGATAATCGGCTGTTTCACGGTAACATGGATTGCCCTTTATGTATATTGGCCAATTCCCAAGTTTGATAAACGTGCCGTGAGAGAAATCTAAAGATCTCGTTTTACAGTTTTTATTTTACACGCGATACACTTGAAAACCTGTCGCCGAAGTTGATAAATTTTTCATTAAGTGTTTGCTTGTATTCAATCAGACCCACAAAAATTCCGATGACTTTGAAAGATTTAAGATGTTAGAAAAACACGTAGGTTTAAGTAGTCTTGATAGAAATGAATCAAAACCTTATAACCCGACCACTTTCGAAAGGTGGACCTTTTTTCTTCTAGGGGCAAACTTGGAATGGTGCCCGAAGAAGAAAGGTCTACCTTTCGAAAGCGTTCGGGCTATAGGGCTTTTATTCATTTCTATCAAGACTACTTGAACCTACGTGTTTTTCTAACATCATGAATGTACCACCACGTGAGGAACATGAACCAATTTCAGGTAAGTAAGGTGATTCAATGCTTAAGTACCTACACGAACACTTAACCTTTATTAATGGATACCCAATCCTGTCAAAATCCATCACTGGAGCTTTGAAAGATTTAAATATTCATGACATCCGTCTGAAATATGAGGATATATAAACATGGTAAACTCCTTACCAAAACCTTATCTTGTTGCTTATTTTGAAAATTTTAAACTGTTAATATAAACAAATCAAAAGTAAATTAATTTCGATTTGTTTTACCATGAGGAATAAATGAACCCGTTTTTGCACTTACTCGTACATAATAGTTGAAACTTTGGCTGTTGAAAATTGAGAAAATATGATAATTTACCTTTACGTTGATTTTATCACTTAGTAATACATAGTATTCGAAATTTTGGCTGTCGAAAACTGAAAAATGTAATTTATAACGTTTACCTATACTTTTACTTTATAAGAACGATTAATAAAGACACTTGTCTCAGAAAATGAAAGCTATGGCGCTACTGGCGATTTATTTAGTCCTAAAGTAAAGTATTAGATTCAAAGCTAATTCCTGACCTTTGATGTTGTTTTTTAATTCAAAGCGGATCAACTTTTTTTGAAAAGTAACTTCCAAATGCAAAATCAAAGTCTGTTGTTTGACTTGTTTCTGAAGAAAAATCCTACCTTCACGGGCTTTTTTTTTTCTTACAATGATTTCATCAACGCAGTATTTTTGTTTGATACTGTACCCAGCATAAAAGTTTGACTATGACAGTCTTACTGATAACACTTGCAGGCAAACCTTATCCTAGAATGGTTTCACCAACACTACAACACAGTATTGTTTAATATACAAGTATGAGTGATGACAGTCTGACTAAAAACACTTAGAAGCAGAGTTTTTCTTACAGTAGTTTCAACAACATTACAAAAAACTAGCTCTTAAACTGTTGTTACATGTAATATAACATCCCAATGTTGCATTAAATTGATAACGCTTTGCAAAATAATGGTATTGGACAAATTATTTTCCTCTTTTCAGAGATTAGATTCTTAATGAACAAATCTATAGACTATATAATGTTTGATAACAGTTTGGAGGTCTTTTTATGTCTTTATAGAGATTACATCACTGATAAACTTATTCTATATGAATAATATGCATATCAAGTATTGTATATGTAATAAACTTAATAATCTTGTAACAAGTAATATCTAAGACTGATATTGCAAACAAATACCACTGATCGTACAGTCTGCAGAGTAGATAGTATACTATTAAAATTATCATAAGTTGTATCTTGTTACAGCTTTCATATTGACCTGTAATGAGTTATGACACGTTTCAATTATTTGTAAGATTACCTTTGACAGATTCATACTTACTGCCTTTATGAAAACAATATAACATTATCAACATAAGGGGATGTTGGAGTCCCCTCCCCCCTGTTTATGGAGATAATGATTGATACTGAAATAGATATATGATAATTGTTAAGGAAATATTGAAATGTTTTATGGTTTCAAA